AATAGCATTTTTGCGTTGTTTTTTGAATTATAAAAAAAGTTTTATCAGACAAATTAAAAATTCATCCATAGAAAATGAAGAGAAAATAATTGCGGTTTTTTTGAGCTATAGAACTCCTAGAAATGTCAAAAACTGGAAGAGGAGATAGATTTTTTCTGTAAAAAACTTTCAAAAATGACCATTTTTGAAATTTTTTCTTTCGGAAAACGACCATACATGAATTTTTAACCACTAATTAATTTTTTAAGAATTATTTGAATCATCTTGGAACTCCAAAAAATCAGATAAAAAATTCTGAAATTTTGGTTTTAGACATGCAATTGTGATCGCGCCAAACTTTTTTTTCTGTAGATCAAAAATTAATTTGCAGTTCGGAAATGTTCTGTGGGAGAGCGTGCAGTTTTATTTTTCAGCTGTCAACATCTGGAAACATTTCATCCGCAAACAAATATGAAATGATTACATTTCTGGTGAAATCCAACTTGAAAACCAAAGAGTCTTTCTGTTACATCGTTTCACGATCAGAATTATTAGAAATACCGGAAGTGGACAAAGATTTGCTGTTCAGAAAATCTCTTTTTTTTTAAATTTCTTTTAATTAATAAAGAAAAAAAAATAATCATTATGTTTTTTTTCAGAAATTCAAGCCCATTAAAAGATTCACAAAATTCCAGATTTGACAAAATTCTGAAAATTCAGAAATTCAAAAAACCAGAAGTTCGAAAGGTCTAAAAATTTCAAAAATTCGAAAATCCAAAAATTCGAAAATTCAAAAATTCAAAAATTCCGATGGGAGGAGATTGTTGATGAACGCGAGAATTCGAAATTTAAATTTGGAGAAACTGAAAATCTGAAATTCGACTTTCTAAACAAAATATCTCAAAAAACAAAGAACATGGACAATTTATTTAAAAAATACAAAAAAAAAATTTTTTAATCAATTTTTATTCCTCGATCGTTGCTCCAAGCACCGCAATTTCTGAAATCAAGTTCTTTGATTTTTGAAAAGTCAAAAAAAAGCGCAATTAAAAAAACTAGAAATTTAGGCCACAACAAGTCTAAACTATCAGCATTTTGTTAACTAATAAGTTTACAACTTTTGTCTATCTTTTACAGAAATCGAGATAATTAATTTCAAAGAGTAAGTCTATTAGACGTACTTGGGGCTTGATTATCTCGTTAGCTAAGAGATATATAAAAATTTTGTTAACTGATAAAATGTGCCAAATTTTATAACAAACATTTTATCAGTTGGCCACTTTTTGATAGCTATCACCGGAATTGAGATAAATCAAGTTGAAGAGCAGGTCTATCCATCCGTACCCTATAGAAGTACCCTATGTACCAACCGCAAATTTCTAGAAAACTGGCTATAACTCGCTTAGTTTTGATACTATATTGATGAAAATTATATTTTTGAATTTGGCAAGTTTTGGGCTTCAAAATGAGTATAAGCACGACCAAGTTTCAGCAAATTCGCTCCACTGCTAATTTATAGAAAACTAGTCATAACTGGCTCAGTTTTGATCCGAATTTGATTAAAACTAGATTTTTGAATTTTAAAAATTTTGGGCTTTAAAATGAGTATAAAAACTAAATGTTAGCAAATTCGCTCTACTGCTAATTTATAGAAAACTACTCATAACTCGCTTAGTTTTAATCCTATCTTGATGAAAATTATATTTTTGAATTCTACAAGTTTTGGGCTTTAAAATGAGTATAAGCACGACCAAGTTTTAGCAAGTTCGCTCTACTGCTAATTTATAGAAAACTACTCATAACTCGCTCTTCTGCTAACAAATTAAAATGTACCTTATACTTCCCGGTCGGTAGAATTGTACGTTGTGTTATTCGAATTTTTGTACTGCTCAGCTAAAAATGTTCATTATTATTTACCTTTTTGCCTTCTGACACAAACTCACTGAGCTGGATTTTGGTATAACTTCCAAATTGGAACTTTCAGTGGAACCATGAGAATAGTCTGAATACTTGAAGTTCAGAGATAAATCAAAAGTTATTTCGTACCTTATAAAATTGTGCAGAATGAATCAGGAGGATTTCCCGAGCTGTGTCAAATATGTGTCGATGAGCTGAAATTAATTTTTTTTTTTGAGAATTTCTAGGTTTTTGACCTAGTTAGACGGTCTTATTGAGGTTGCGCTGGACCTTGTTCTGATACGGTAGAGCCGTGCTGAGCTACCATCTCTGCTCATACGTGCTCTACCGCACTTCTCCAGAAAAACTACCGTAACTCGCTTGGATTTCATTCAATCTTGATAAAACTTAGATTTTTGTATTCCGCATGTTTTGGGCTTCAAAATAAGTATACATTTCAGAAAATTTCTGCAAACGTGCTCTACTGCTAAGCCGAGAAAATTGGCTCTAACTCGCTTAGTTTTTGCCCCATCTAGACGGGAACTAGATTTTTGAATTTAGCTTGTTTTGGGCTTCAAAATAAATATACTTTCCAACAAATTTCTGCAAGCGCGCTCTACTGCTAAGCCGAGAAAATTGGCTCTAACTCGCTTAGTTTTTGCCCAATCTAGACGGGAACTAGATTTTTGAATTCTACAAATTTTGGGCTTCAAAATAAGTATAAACATCACACAGTTCTTACCATAATTCTTGTCTAGCTCGCTTCCTCCTAAAACTGCATTTTTTCAATTTTCAGCTTTTCATTTCCAGGAAATATTCTGAAATTCCATACAGATTTTTCTATTTATCACCTTTTTCAAATTCTCACCTTACAATTTAAATTTTCAGAAAAATAAAATAAGACCAGTCATACAGAAGACCGTCAGAATATCATAGAGCTCCTTGGTGCTCATGAATGAATGAGAGCAAAGAGGATATTGGTTGAATGAGAGAGCGAGAGACGCAGAGAAAGGACCTAATTGCCCGGTTTAAATGGAAGGAAGGGGGCGGAGCTGGGGAGTCATTATAGGATTGGGGCACATCTTTGAACCTTTTGGAAGCCAATGTTAGGATTAGAGCCCTAATTCAAATTTTCGGGAATTTTAAAGATCAAAAGATCAAAAAAAAGAGGATAATTAGAGCACTCTAATTGCTCATTTCCTTTGGAAGCTATATTTAGGATTAGAGCGTTTTAATTTAGGTTTAATTGATTGGTTCTAAAACATCCGGTTGCAAAAAATACAAAGAAAAATATTCACAAAATTAAGCCTAGGTATTGGTTAATCCACAATTAGGCTCAAACTTTGAGCTCAATTATCTCGCTCGCTATAAGAGATATCAAAAATTTGTCAATTACCAAAATGTGTGAAATTTTATCACAAATTGTTTATCAGTTGATTACTTTTTTATATCTTTCACAGAAATCGAGATAACTAATGTCAAAGAATAGACCCATATATCCTGGAAATACTCTAGCCTTCATGCTTCTTCTCAAAGTATGTGGTTCTCAAATAGTCCTGGAGTATTGGGATTGTGTTTTTCTGATATGAATTAATTTGCTTGTCAATAACAGCTGAAAATCCTATCAAATTTCATACAGTAACATCTTTGGCTTTTGGGGAATCTGGGGGGGGGGGGGAATATCCGGAAATCCAATAGAGTTTTGTCGAATAATTTAGGTCTTTATAATTATGTTTTTGGGACTATTTTAAAAGCGCATATCTCAAAAACTAAAAATGCTAGCAAAAAGTTGCTCTTTATTGAAATGTTTAAAATTTTATGCTCTTTATTTTCGTAGTTTGCAATTTTTTGATAGCTACCGTAGTTTTTAAGATATACGTCTTTAAAGTTAATGCACCCAAAAGGGGGTCGTCTCTCCCTCCTTTGGGCATGCCTCACCTTAAAGGCGCATATCTCAAAATCTACTTTAGCTATCGAAACACTATTATCTACAAAAAAAGGTACCACGTGGACCACCTAAAGATCTCAAAACCAGATAAGAAATCGCTATAAAAGGGGCACAAATCAATAGGAAACCTTCACTTCACTTTCGTACCCCTCAAACACACAGCTCTCTGTGTGTCTGACAAAACCGACCAATCCAAGTGACCGCCGAAATCTCACGGAAATGCCGAACCCGCCGCCGAAAGAAGATACATGGGCGTTCCAGCCAATCGGAGCACCGTTCCCGCCGAGTCCCGTCAAGTGTATGGGCGAGCAGAACATGTACGTCGCTCTGTGGTACAAACACGGAAAGCCGATTCATGGACGTTCGTGGAACAATGGAGGAGTCGTTGAATGCTCATTCCCATACAAGGAGGCCGAGTTGACCACCAAGCAGCAGTTGGAGGGACAGATCCAGGTCTTGCAGTACCTTGGAGACCATAACAATCAAGGTGAGGGTTGGGCAAGGGTTGGGCAAGTCCCCTAGGTAGGGTATTAGTTAAAACAGATTACTTTTAGGTAGCTAAGTTGAATATTCCGATTTTTAAGCGTTTTTTCAACTTTTTTTTTTCAAACACCCACATCTCAATTTCTATAAATGCTAGAAACATGATTTTTGTACCAAAATGTTTGAATTTTTATGCTCTTTACTTTTGTAATAAATTGTATTCTGCTAGCTACTGTAGTTTTTGAGATACGCGCCTTTAAAATTGATCCGCCCGCTCCCCTTTTCTGGAGACGACCCTCCTCTGCACCCCCCCCTTTAAAGGCGCATATCTCAAAAAACAAAACAGCTACCAAACTTATTCTTACTAATAAAAAAACTTACTAATAAAACGTGTAAAATTTTATGCTCCTCATTTTTGAATTTTTCACTTTTGTAATAGCTACAGTAGGTTTTGAGATACGCGCTTTCTCGTCCCGCTCCCTCTTTCTGGATGTGCCCCTTTTTTTCAGGGATAGATTTCCGAAACTACTTCAAAATTACTCCAAAACAAAAGAATTTTTCAGGTTTCTGGTACGAGTGGATCAAGTACAAGGACCGTATTGAGAAGCTCGATGACAAGCACCAACTCGTCCGCTGTGGAGACTCCTTCCCGATCTTCTGGAAGCGTGCCGAAGGAAATCTCATGGGATACGTTGACAACAAGACTGAGGAAGCGTGGTTCTCGTTCAATGGAAAGGTGATCAAGCAGTTGGGACCTCAACTCAACGACATGTACATCATCACTCGTAATTGCGTTGGAGGACCCCCACATTGTCCATGCGCCGCCTGCGGAGCTGCTCCACCACCACCCAAGCCAGTGCCACGTATCGAAAGAGACGAATGGATGGATATTCGTGAGGGAGATGCTTGGCCAACCAACAGACAGCTTGTTCGTGCCCTGGACAAGTCCCTTGACACCTTGCCGGGAGTCGCTGCTGACCAGTATGTTGCTCTTTGGTACATGCAAGGAGAGCCGGTCATGGGTCGCGTCTGGAATGAGGGTGGAAAGGTGAAGAAACTAAAAAAGCTAGAAAAAAGAACTACAAAAATGTAGAGCAAACAATTTCCAACACTTAAGTACTAAAATCATAATTTTAAAAAGTTCAGAACTTGATGATAATTTTAAAAAAAACTTGTAATAATTTTTAAAATTTCCAGATCGCCGCCAACTTCTCTTGGTTCAACAACGAGTACAGCAAGAACGTCGGATCCATCCAGCTTCTCGTCCATCTTCCCGACTCGGTCCGTGGCTACGACTACGGTTGGATTCCATTCCCAGAGGCTGCCAAGTTCGGAGACAAGCAATGGCATCCGGTCCATGTCAACAACCACAAGGGAGACATCTCGGTTGGAGTCATCAACGTCGCCGGAGGCAAGCAGATCCTCGCCAAGGTCGATGTCCGTAACGAGTCGTACGGATATGGTTACCAAGGAAAGGAGGTGTCTGCTCGTGGACCGGCTTGCTCTTCCAGCACCATCGTACTCTGCCGTAAGGCCAAGCCAGGACACAAGTTGGACGGATAAGGAGACAACCCAATCCAACCAAAAACGCAAACAGCACTGCATGGATGTTCATTCACTTCTCTCGAATAAAAATATTCTTCAAAATTTGTCTACTTGTTTTTTAGTTACATTTTTTTCATTTCACTAGGGAAGGCCCCAACTCGGGTGTGGCGATACGGGTGGTGACCTATATCATCTGAAAGCTAACATTTTCCTAATTCCAAATCTGTTTTCAAAAAGTGCTTTGTCGCGGTAGTTTTCGAGAAAATTGGGTCGAAAGTTTCGAAAAATGACGTGGATTTTCAATAAAATTTTCCTTCATCACGTATATAAGTTTTGAAGCGTTGAGATAGAATTGAGAAAAAAAGCGATTGAGAAAAATTGATAGAATATTTCACAGCATACTTGCAACGGGCCGGGCCGGGCTTTTTTTTCAGAATTTTCAGGGCCCGGCCCTGCCCGTCTCTTTTCAGAAGAAAATTTTCCTGTCTTTTCAAAAAATTTTTTGGGGTCCATAGAAAAAAAATGGAAAACCTTTCGGTCAAGTAAAAAAAATTTCAAAATAAGAGTGTCCATAAAAAAAGATTTTTCCACAAAAAAATTTTGTAAAAAAGGCTGAAATTTCAAAAAAAATTCAAATTTGGAGAACCCGATTTTGCAAGTATGTTTTACACTTCTCTATTGTATGCTTTCCGGAAATTTCTTTCCGGAAATTTCGAGATTTTTTGAAATCAGAAAGAACAATGTGACAATGAGAAGTGAAAAACTTTTGTCGGAATTTTGGAAATTCAGAAATTGCGAAATACTGAGATTCTGCTGTCCTGAAACTTTGAGATTTTGAAGTTCTGAAATTCGGAAATTCTCGGATTCTCAGATTCTGAAGATCCGAAAATTTCAGATTCCGAAATACTGAAATTCTGGAGTTCTGAAATTCTGAAATTCTCAGATTCCGAATTCTGGAATTCCAAAGTTCTGAAATTCCGAAATTTCGAAGTTTTGAAGTCCTGAGATTCTGAAATTCGAAAATTTTTAGATTCTCAGATTTTTAAGTTCCGAAATTTTCTGATTCCGAAATACTGGAATTCCAAAGTTCTGAAGTTCTAAGAATTCTAAGATTTTCAAGCTCTGAAATTCAGGAATTCAGAAACTCCCTCAAAAAAAATTGTACCCCCCGAATCACAAGCGTTGTACCCCTAAATGAAATGGGTTGTACCCCAGAATCATTGATAGTTTGTACCCCCGAATCGTTGTACCCCCGAATTTTTGTACCCACGAAACACCAATTTCGTACCCCTAAATCAGTTGTACCCCCTTGTACCCCCGAATCATTGTACTCCCCCCCCCCCCCCCCGAATTTTTTGCCAGTTATGCGCCTTTAATGTACGCGCTTTTTCTTGAGTCTATTTTAGAATTTGAGATATGAAGATTTTTAAAAATTTAAAAAAAATTATTTCAAGTTTTTTAATTCTTGTATCTCGAGTTCTCCATTTGCTAGAAACATAATTTTTATATCAAAATGTTGGAAATTTTATGTTTCTTATTTTTGTAGTTTGTAGTATTTTGTTAGATTCTTGGTTTTTGAGATATGCGCCTTCAAAGTGTGCGCACTCCTCCCCTTACGTTACCGACAGAGGTGCGCATTTTTTTTATAGGCGCATATCTCAAAAACTATGGTAATTATCAAAATGGTGTAAACTGTAGAAATGTAAAGCATAAACTTTTACACATTTTGTTAGTTAACAAAATGTTTCTAGCTGTTCTAGTTTTTGAGATGTGCGCCTTTAAACTTGGACCACTTGTATCTCAAGAACCAGAAATTCCATTTTATCAAATTTAATATCAAAATGTGTAAATTTTCATAAGCTTTATTGTCCCATCATCAATATAGTTCCATTATTTTACTTTTTCTCAGTGTTCGCATCATTATTTTGCGGCGTATCATACTCCATATCATCCTCAGTCTGTTGATCCTTCGTCTCGAACAACAAACATTGATCGGGTCGCATTTTGACCTACAAAAGTACAGTAATCCGTGTCTACAGTAATCCTATAGTACCCTAAGATCCTTCGGAATCGGCGTTTGTTTCTCGGTGGATTTCTCCGATTCTGGAAGTTTCGAAAATCGATTTTTCTCATCATTTTTTCGGACATCCTTGAATTTGGTCTCATGCTTCTGACACGCTTTCATCATCTCTTTTTCCAAATCATCAATTTCTTTTTGGTCCTGAAAAATGTTATTAGGGCAAATGCGCTCTATTATACTCACCTTCTCCACATCTAGATTTCCCTTGTAAGTCACTAATTTGGGATCAAAAATCATATCAGTTGCGGCGGTACGAACCACACGGTCGTGGATGACAGCTGAAATTTTTGAATTTCGCGCCGAAATCCAGTGGAGCGCGCTTGCTTACGAGTCTCCGGATCATTTATTGTTTCTTCCATCGGACCACACTCATCAGCATTTATAATCGAAATTTCGTTTTCTTTCGCTGAATTGTTTCCAGTTGGATCGTTGGGTCTGAACATCTCAGTAGAGCGCGTTTACTATGGTAGGTATCAAAACATTGTCAACTACAAAAAGGAAGAACAGAAAAGTTTTTGCTTTTTTCAAAATATGGCTAACGTTCCTAGTTTTTGAGATATGCGCCTTTAAAGACCGTCTAGAAGACTGAGCTCTCACCAGATTGCGCGCGCTGACTTTAAAGGCGCACATCTCAAAAACTACGGTAGTTATCAGAACAATGTCAATTACAAAAATGTAAAGCATAAAATTTTGCACATTTTGTTAGTTACAAATTTTTGGTAGCTTTTGTACTTTTTGAGATATGCGCCTTTAAAGCTGAAGCATGCCGCTCTCTGGGCCCATTTCTGGGTAAGTCAACTTGAAAGACGTATATTTCAAAAACTACGGTAGTTATCAAAAAATGTCAACTAAAAAAATTAAGAAAATAAAATTTCACACAGTTTGGTCATTTCAAATTTTTATAGCTTTTGTACTTCTTGAGATATGCGCCTTTAAAGTTAAGGCATGAGGGGGACCGCCACCTTTTTGCACATAGTATCTTTAAAGGCGCATATCTCAAAAACCACGTTCGCTATCAAAATTTTGACAACTAACAAAATAAATGAAATTTCATGATCTACATTTTCCCCAACTTTTCGAGCTACTCACGTCGGCCCATTCTGTGTCCCATCCATCGGTTTCGAGTCCTTCATCGCCGAAGACGAGGATTTATCCGATTTGCGTTTCGACGCTCGATTCATTTTCGACTTCTTTCCACCTGGTCCACTATCCACACTTTTCACTTTTGATCCAGATTTCAACGCATCCTTTCCGGATTTATTGACTTCCGGGGGATTTTTCTGATTTTCAGCAACGTTGGCGGCTATGGATTCGTCAACGGTGGTGGTGACAAGCAAGTGCTTGGATTTTGAACCACGAGGGGCCTGAAAGTTTAAAAAATTTGAAATTGAAAACAATTTTCAATATGTAGATCTATTTTCCAGACTCTAGTTGCCTGTGTCTCCTCCTTGTTAACAAAAGGAAATATAACGGTGTCGTCAACTTTAAAAGCACATATCTCAAAAACTACTGTAGCTATTAAAAAAGTATGTACTACAAAAATGTAGCTCTTGAAATTTCCCACATTTCGTTAGTGATCAACTTTTTGATAGCTTTCTTGGTTTTTGTGACATGCGCCTTTAAGGTGAGGCATGCCCAACGGAGGGGAGACGACCCCCTTTTGGGTGCATTAACATTAAAGTCGCATACCTCAAAAACTACAGTATCAACTAAAGAAGTGCAAACTACAAAAATAAGAAGCATGAAATGTCCTACACTTTGTTACAAAACAATAACTTCTGGCTATTTTGGAACTTGAGATGTGAAAATTTGAAAATTTTGAAAAAAATTTTGTTTCGATTTTTTAAATGTTTGATATCTCGAGTTCTACAATTTCTAGAAACATGATTTTTATATCAAATTGTTGGAAATTTTGTGTTTTTAATTTTTGTAGTTTGTAGCTCTTTGATAACTACAATAGTTTTTGAGATATGCGTCTTTAAAGAAAGGCATGCCGGGAGACGAACCCCTTTTGGGTGCATTAACTTCAAAGGCGCATATCTCAAAAACTACGGTAGCTATCAAAAAACTTTCAACGAACAAAATATGTCAAATTTTATGATCTACATTCTTGCAGTTTACACTTTTTTGAGAACTACCGTACTTTTCGAGATATGCGCCTTTAAACCTACCGCACTCTTCTCCTGCTTCTTTTTGGAGCACTGCACGATGAAAACGATGCACATTACGTATCCAATCAACACTTCGATTGTTAATATCGCTGGAAAAGTTGTTTCAGAGTTCTCATTGGAGCGCATTTGCTTACAGAACATTGTGTCACTGAAAACTCGACAAAACCCAAACAACATTGAAATAAACCTGTTGGCTCCCAAGGGTTTTTGTGTTTTTGGCAGATTTTTCGATGCGAATTTCGACGTCATTTTGTGAAAAATTCGAATTCGTCGGTCGCGGTCGCTCATTTGGCTCGGTGCCAAATGTCCGATTAGATAATAAACAATTGATTGTATACACTAAAATTTTTGTATCTGTCAATCTAAACACAAATTTTTTTTCGATTAGATAAGAACTCTTTTTTTCTGCTATATAACTTTTTTCTCGGTCATTTTTGTGCTCTTTTTGCTCTTTTTTCTCCTGAAAATTCGCAAAAAAATATAATTTTTTAAAACGATTTCTGTGCATGCGCCTTTAAAAGAGTACTGTGATAGATATATTCCTTTGAAATTTCGTTTGTTTTTAGCGAAAAATTGAGCTTTTTTTTAAATTTTTTTCATAAATGCCTGTTATAAAAATTGTTTTCTTCTTTTTTAAACTTTTTATGCAAAAAAAAGCAAAGAAATCTATCAAAAACAAGCGTTTTTCAATAAATAAAAGATTTTCGTGGCGAAGCCCAGCGAAAAATTTTACTGTGTGCGCCTTTAAGTTTTGCCGCAAAATCTAAAAATTTAAATTTCTCAGCGAATTTTCACTCAGAAAAACTCATTTTTACTCGATTTTCCCCAATTTTAGACCGAATTTTTTTTAATTTTTAGCACTAACATGAAACTAATCATCGAGGAGAACGCCGAAAAGGTAGCCGACTTCGCCGCTCGCTACGTCGCCCGGAAAATCGCCGAAGCTTCCGAAAAGAAGAAATTCTTCGTTCTGGGACTTCCGACGGGCTCGACGCCGTTGGGAATGTACAAAAAGTTGATTGAATTCTATAAGGAGGGAATGATCTCGTTTGAAATGGTCAAAACCTTCAATATGGACGAGTATGTCGGTGAGCTGGAAAAATCGATAAGAAATCGATAATTGACTAGAAACCTTTTAAAATTCTAGAAAAAATCGATAAAAAACGAAGAATTCTGTAAAATTCTGAAAAAAAACCAGAAAAAATCCGGAAAAAATCCGGAAAAAATCCGGAAAATTCCAGAAAATATAATTTTTTTTTCAAAAAATCGATAAAATCAATACTTCCAGATCTGCCTCGCGATCACCCCGAATCCTATCACTCGTTCATGTTCGACAACTTCTTCCGTCACATTGATATCCAGCCAGCAAATGTAAGTGCGCTCCATGGCCAAAATTCTCAATAGAGCGCATTTTCTAGATCCATATCCTCAACGGAAACACCGGAGATCATGAGAAAGAGTGCGCAGAGTATGAGAAGAAGATTCTGGAAGCGGGCGGAATCGATTTGTTCATCGGAGGCATTGGTCCGGACGGACATATCGCTTTCAATGAGCCAGGGAGCTCTCTGGCCAGTCGCACACGAATTAAGACACTCAATGAGGATACCATTCAGGTGAGAAAGAAAGGAAAATCGATTTTCAGACAGTCGATTATCGATTTTTAGGTAAAAACACAAAAATCGCTGTAAACCTGTCGAAAATACGTCATAACCCTCAAGTAAAATCTGCTGAAATCGCCGAAAAACGGCGAATCCGAACATATCGAAATTTCGAAAATTTAGCCCATCGATTATCGATTTTTCGGTCAAAATCACGAATTTCGTTATTAACCTGTTTAAAGTACGTTCTAAGACATCAATTGGAGTTTGCTGGCATCGCCGAAAAATAGCGAATCTGAAAATATCGAAGTTTCGAAAATTTGGCTATTCGATTATCGATTTTTGAGAGAAAACCCTGAAAATCGCTGTAAACCTGTACAACATAGGTTTTCAAACCCAAAATTTAGTGTTTTGAAATCGCCAAAAACAGCGAATCTTATAATATCAAAATTTAAAAATTTGAGCCAATCTATTATCGATTTTCATGCAGGCCAACGCTCGTTTCTTCGGCGGCGACCTCTCCAAAGTGCCAACCCAAGCGCTGACAGTCGGTGTTCAAACCGTAATGGACGCTCGCGAAGTGATGATTCTGATCACTGGATCCCATAAGGCACTGGCCCTTCATCAGGCAATCGAATGCGGTGTCTCTCATATGTGTACAGTATCCGCAATGCAAATGCATCCATGCGCCACGTTTGTCGCCGATGAAGACGCCACTTTGGAGCTGAAAGTGAAGACGGTCAAGTACTTCAAAGGACTCATGGCCCTCCATCGAAAACTCGTCGAGTTTTGATCTATTATTGATTTTTTCCTGTATCTTTTGAACCTTGTCTTTTTTTGTGCCTCTAATTTACGAAAAACCATTTTTGGTAGTTTTACTGTATTTTTAAAGAACTTTGTAACCCCCTTTTTTGTGCCTTGAAATTACGATTTTTCTGTACTAAACCTTTTTCCTTGTACCTTTTTTCCAGTCTATTTTTTGAATAAATCAATTTTCTATGAGAAAAAAGGAATATTCGCTGAAAAAACAGGAAAAAAATAGGTTAAAATAGCTCTTCTAGTTTTTGAGATATGCGCCTTTAAAGTTGAGGGGTGCGCGTACTTTAAAGGCGCGAATCTTAAAAATTACGGTAGCTACCAAAATACGACAAATACAAAAACAAAGAGCATAAAATTTCACACATTTTGTTAGTTGACAAGTTTTTGATTTCTACAGTTTACACCATTTTGATAATTACCATAGTTTTTGAGATATGCGCCTATAAAAAAAATGCGCACCTCTGTCGGTAACGTAAGGGGAGGAGTGCGCACACTTTGAAGGCGCATATCTCAAAAACCAAGAATCTAACAAAATACTACAAACTACAAAAATAAGAAACATAAAATTTCCAACATTTTGATATAAAAATTATGTTTCTAACAAATGTAGAACTCGAGATACAAAAAAAAGAAAAATTCTGAAAAAATATTTTTTCCAAATTTTAAAAATGTTCATATCTCAAGTTCTAAAGCAGACAAAAATCAAATTGTTGTATCAAAATATTGGAAATTTCATGCGTTCTATTTTTATAGTGTACCAAATTTTGATAGCTACTGTAGTTTTTTAGCTATGCGCCCAAAAATTCTCGCCTCTGTTAGCGATGCAAGGGGGAGGGGCGCGCTTACTTTAAAGACGCATAACTCAAAAACTATAGTAGCTGACAAAATATTACAAACTACAAAAATAAAGAGTATAAAATTTCCAACATTTTGGTATAAAATTCAAGCTTCTAGCAATTGTAGAACTTGAGATATGAAAATTTAAAAATAACAAAAAATGTTTTTTAAAATTATTTCCAAAAGTAGTATATCTCTATTTCTAAAACAGCTAGAATATACATTTTTTGACTGAAATGTAGGCACTTTTATGTTTTTCATTTTTGTAGTATATCAAATTTTGATAGCTACCGTAGTTTTTGAGATATGCGCCTTTAAATGATGCAATTATTTTTCGGAGACGCACTTAAGGAGTGCGCGTAGTTTAAAGGCACATATCTCAAAAACTAGGGTAATTATCAAAATACTACAAACTACAAAATTAAGAGCACAAAATTTCCAACATTTTCATACAAAAATCATGTTGTTAGCAATTGTATAACTCGAGATAAAAAAATTATAAAAAATTTTGAAAAAAAAAAATTTTTTTGAATTTTTCATATCTCGAGTAAAAAGTCAATAATAAAATTTTTGTACCAAAATGTGTAAAATTTTATGTGCTCCATTTTTGTAGTTTGTAGTAATTTAATACCTATTAAAGTTTTGGAGTTATGCGCCTTTAAACATGAGCGCCTCTTGTGGGGATGCAGAGAAAGTACTACTTTAAAGGCGCATATCTCGAAAACTACAGTAGCTATCAGAATACTAAAAACTACAAAAATAAAGAGCACAAAATTTCCAACATTTTTAAATAAAAATCAAGCTTCTAGCAATTGTAAAACTCGAGATATGGAACCGAAAATCTTGTATTTCGAATTTCAAGCTTTTGAAGCTATGAGACTCTTGAAACGTTCAATTTAAATTTTAAAATCTTTCACACAACCTAAATAACTCTAAATCTCTTATCTCTAACCTCTTGTTACACTATTCCCGACCCAGGTCACTTTGTGCTCCCCCCATTTCTCCCCCTTTACTCTAAACTTCATTTTATTAGTCTTCCCTCCTTCTGATGACCTTTTCTCTGCGTCTCCTAATCTTCTACACTCTTTTCCATTCTATTCTTGCACAATGTGATGATAACGGTGTCATTTATGCATCTGGCGACAAATGGATTCGTAATAATCACTTTTTGGTGACATGTAGAGGTGGAAAAATTCAGGTATTGTTGATTTTTTCGAACTATTCGGAAATTCTGTCTAAACTAACATTGATTTTCGTATTTCCCATAGCTCGGCGGTTCGAATGAGTATACTCATGACCTAGTTTGGTTCATTTTAGTTCCTGAGGCACTAATGCGCCTTTAAACTAGCTACAGTACTCCAAAATCGAACTTTGAGGTAACTAGGTCATGAGTATACTCATTTTAAAGCTCTTAGCACGCTGAGTAAGAATATTTAAGTTTCGAATCAAAAATCTAGTTTGAGAAAGCGCTCGAACTCCAGTTTTCGATTTTATGAATTTTGAAATTCTAAAATGGATCTAAAATTGGATTTCCGGCTCTATAGTCATTTTCCTGATACCCATATTTTCACTCAGCTAGCTCTCAGCTTTCAAATGAATATACTCTGACCTACTTTCCTCATTTTTCATCTTTCGGAACCTCCTGCGCCTTTAAATTACCTACAGTACCCCGGAAACTGAAACTCGCTCAAAATTGGTCATGATTATACTCATTTTGAAGCTCATGAAACGTTGAGCAAGAACACTCAGGTTTTAGATCAAAAATCTAGTTTGAAAAAGCGCTGGAACCCTAGTTTTCGATTGTATGACTTTTGAAAATCTAAAATTGATCTAAAATTGAATTTTCGGCTCTAAATTTTAGTTAGTCATTTTTCTGATACGCATATTCTTACTCAGCAAGCTTTCAGCTTCCGAATGAGTATAATCATGACCTAGTTTGCTTCATTTTGATTTTCTAGGGACCTCCTGCGCCTTTAAACTACATACAGTACCTCTAAAACTGACTTTGAGGAAACTAGGTCATGAGTATACTCATTTTAAAGCTGTTGACGCGCTGAGCAAGAATATTCTGTTTTTTAATGAAAAACTTTTCCGAGAAAGAGTCGAAATTCCAATTTTCGTTTTTCCGATTATTGAAAATCCGAAGTTCGAATTTCGGGGCTACATTTGAATTTCCCGCGTTTTTCATATAAATATTCTTACTCACCTTGTTATTAGCTTTCAAATGAGTATAATCATGACCTACATTTCTCTATTTTCATTTTTCGTTACCTCCTGCGCCTTTTAACTACCTACAGTACCCCGGAAACTGAAATTCGCTCAAAGTGGGCCATGAGTATACTCATTTTAACCGTCTTAACTAGCTGAGCACAAATATCAACATCTAAAAACACAAAAATCATTCTTAAAATTTCCAGACCCTAAAATGTGTGACAGACAGTGGTCATTTACTGGATGTCGGCTCGAAAACCTATGTGGAACAGGGATATGAATACACATGTGCGCACGAGGTGGCAGAGAACTTGAATACAAATTCCTGCCCAACATTTGCCGATTTTTCCGATGATATCTTCAAGGATCGATTCGCGATTTGTTGTATTTCTAGAAGATTCAAAGGATGTGTCGATGTAAATGGAGATATTGTTAAGGATGGATATTTTATAATTGGAAATCAAAGTTTGAAGTACTGTAGAATACAACCCAACCAGTTGATGGCAAGAATTGAGCCAAAGGGTATGGCTTTTATTCATTTTTTGGGTCTAAAACTTTTTTTAATGAAAGTTTTGTACCTAAAAATTAGATATTCGTGCTCAGCATGTCAAGAGCATTAAAATGAGTATACGCATGACCTACTTTGAGCTTAGTTTAGTTTCCGTGTTACTGTAGCTAGTTTAAAGGCACAGAAGATAACGAAAAATGAAAACAGAGAAAAGTAGGTCATGAGTATATTCATTTGAAAGCTGACAACATGCTGAGTAAGAATAATGATATGAAAAACGCGGAAAATTTAAATTTGGCAAGAAGTTCCAAATTTAGATTTTCAAAAGTTGTAAAATCGAAAACTGGAAAATTTGGCGCTAATGTTTTCAGATTTCTACTCAAAAATTAGATATCAGTGCTCAGCATGTAAAGAGCATCAAAATGAGTATACTCATGCCCTACTTTGAGCAAATTTCAGTTTTAGGGGTACTGTAGCTAGTTTAAAGGCGCAGGAGGTTACGAAACAAAATGAAAATTGAGAAAAGTAGGTCATAATTATACTCATTTGGAAGCGGACAACAAGATGAGCAAGAATATCATGATGAAAAACGGGGAAAGTTCAAATTTGACCCCGAAATTTCAATTTTTGGCTTTCAACAGTCCCAGAACTGAAAATTGAAATTTCGGCGCCTAGGTTTTCAGATTCTTGATTAAAAAACTGAAAAATCGTGCTTAGCGTGACAAGAGCATCAAAATAAGTATACGCATGACCTACTTCGAGCAAAATTCAGTTTTGGGGGTACTGTAGCTAGTTTAAAGGCGCAGGAGGTAACGAAAAAAAAAGATTGAGAAAAGTAGGTCATGAGTAAACTCATTTGAAAGCTAAGAACATGCTGAGTAAGAATATTCATATCAAAATTGAAAAATCCATCTGAAAGTCTCCAGGTTGCTTCAATGGCACAACAAACGACGATATTCACGACGAGAGTCGACATATCAAAAAGTATGCAGTTTGGCGGGAAGGTGAGGAAGTTTGAATTTTCAAAAAAATTCTAGAACTTCCAAAATTTTCCAGGAGACGTGGAATACAGATGCGGTGACGATGGTGTTCATATTCAACGATGTTTCCCGAAGGAGCTAAAAAATAAGCCAGTCTGGGCGGGAACCGCATGGATTCAAGACGATGGACAAGTCAAAACTTGTGGAAAAATTCATTGAGCTTTTTTTCTGGAAAATAAATTTTAAAAAACTCCCAGCTCCAAAAGTTTTGTTTACAGGAGATACGTATATTTCGCAACCAGACTTTCTAGAACCGACATTTTTCGGTTCAACGAGAGCTTTAAAATGAGTACACTCATGACCTATGTTTGGCTCATTTCGATTTACAACGCGCCTTTAAATTGGCGGCAGTACCCCAAATCTGAAATTCGTTCAAAATAGGTCATCAGTATACTCATTCGAAGCGTCATACTACACTGAATGTAGTAAACTAGATGACAAGTCTGAAAAATCAATTCTAGCGAGGATAATTTTTGAATACTGTAACTTTTTTGCACCATTCGATAACGCAAAAGCAAATCGAACTGCTTCAATTTCGACTTCAATTTTGATGTATCGTTCTTCGATTTTGTGTTGGTTTTGTGTTGAATTTTCCGAAAAAAAAAGCTTCGGAACAATTCCACAAATAATTCCGAAAATTCTTGACCATAATATATTCCAGCTGAAAATAGAGAATTTCCTCAAAAAAAAAAGAAAAAAAAAAGAAAAAAAAAGATTGCGAAACGCAGGAAAATTCGTATTTGGCTGCCCATGGTTCAAACGTTTGATCCTCAGCCAACAGTTTGATCCTCAGCCTTAAAATTGCCTTATCGGTATTTTTACATTTTTTTCGTTTCCGATTTTTTTATTTAAAAATTTATTTCCCGTATAAGTAATAAATACGTTCTATTCTTCGCAAACAAATGGTCGCCGAACCTCTTCTAGTATGAGGTACATAGTGAACACTCAAAATCTGATTTCAAAAAAATTTTTCAGACAGAGAACAAGAAGGTTCACCCCACAGGACCATTCACCAGATGCTGGAAATTCTACAATTTTCTAATAATAAAAAAAAGTTCCCAGCTCCAAGTTTTATTTCCTGGAAAAAAAACGTACCGGTACAAGCCCCAAAAAATCCCAAAATTTCAACAAAAAAGATTCTACGCCCAAATAAAGCCCCAAAAGAGACATTTCACAACCAGACGTTCTAGAACTATGTCGATATTCTTGTTTGGTTCAATGAGAGCTTCAAAATGAGTATATTCATGACCTACTTTGCTTCAAAAGGCCTATGCGCCTTTAAATTGGCTACAGTACCCGAGAATTAATTTTGGTCATAGATAGGTCAAGAGTATACTCATTCGAACCGGCTTGATTTGCTGAGTTAAGAAAACTAAGTTTTAAATCTTAAAAATCTTTCTAGCAGAGATAATTTCAGATTACTGTACTTTAGCATAATGCTGCTAAATCTTAAATAGGATCTCTTATTTTTCAAAAAGGAATTTAGTAATGTTTGTCATTATATTCTTGTTTTTCTCAATAAGAGCTTTAAAATGAGTATAATCATGCTCTAGTTTGCTGAAACTTGAGGTTCTAGAACGTCTGGTTGCGAAATGTCCGGTTGCGAAGTGGTCAGTCCCCAAAACAAGCGATTCTAACACCATACTGTACCCATGTCGTCCAAAAGCTGTTCTAAAAACTGAAACAAAAACCCAGAAATCTGCTTCCCAAAAATAAAAATTCTCTACAGTAATCCCCAAAAAAGGTACTAGACTCTAAGATCTCCAGAGACCGCCTGAGACTGTCCGGTGACCGGACGGACTTGATGAATTGCACGGACATCTGGAGTCTTCAGACGAATCGAATCCATCATTTGCTTCCTTTCCTTCTCATTTCGAGTCTTCAGAGACACTGGAAGGGTCTCGCAACGATCCACATCGATTCGAACGTAGATTGTATCGTCCTGAAATTGGTTTAAATTAGGGATTTGCTCATTTTTGCTATTATATTTTTGTTGGGCTCAACGAGAGCTTTAAAATGAGTATACTCATGCCCTATTTTGCTTTGTTTTGATTTTTAAGGGACCCCATGCGCCTTTAAATCGGCTACAGTACCCTGAAAAACCATTTTTTAGCTAGATAGGTCATGATTATGCTCATTCAAACCGGCTTAAATTGCTGATTTTAGAAAAATAGATTTTAGGCATTTACAATATGTTCTAGCCGAGATAAAGGCCGAATACTGTAAGATTCGGTTCTTAAATAGATTGTTTCATTCTAAACTAGTTTAAATAACACATTTGTCAGTTTTCCTTGTTATATTCTTGTTCAAATCAACGAGCGCTTTAAAATGAGTATACTCATGACCTAGTTTGCTCGATTTTGGTTTTCAAGGGACAACATGCGCCTTTAAATCGGCTACAGTACCCTGAAAAACCATTTTTTAGCTAGATAGGTCGTGATTATACTTATTCGAACCGGCTTGACTTGCTCAATTCAAAAAAAAAGAAAGTTTCCAGTCATGAAAATTAATTCTAAAAGATATATTCAGAATACTGTACCTTCACATAATTCTGCAAAATCGCCAACGAGCAGAACGATTGCGATCCAAACGCGGCGTTTCGCTCGCCACGTGGCCGAGCCAAGAACTTTTCGTTGGCTTTCAACTTGCGCGGATCAATGACGTAGGTGATGTTGACACGATCCTCGGGACGGGGATTCTGAATGAAAATTTAATGTCTTCTTAAGTTTCAGAACTCGGATTTTCTAGAATTTTCATGTCGTTAATCTTTTTTATCTTCAAATTTCTGACATTTTGACACTAATTTAGCCTCGATTCGAGCAATTTAGAAATTTGACGTCTTCTGAATTCAGAATACCCCGAAATTTCGAAACCATGGCGATATGGGTATCAAATGGACGGGAATTCTATGAGAAATATTTTTAACGTCATGAAATTTCTTGAAAACTATTATGAAGCAAGTTGGAATTATGCGAAAATCTGGAATTCAGGTTTAGAAAATTCTGGATGCCTTCCAAATTGTTTCTAGGAATTTTTTCGTCATTAAAGCTATTTTTCAAGAAATTTCCATCATTTTAATATTAATTTCGACTCGATTTGAGCACGTTGGAATTTTGACGTCTTCTGAATTCAGAATACACGAAAATTTTAAAACTATGGCAATATGGGTATCATATTGACGGAATTTTCGAGCCAAACACATTTAACGACGTCATTTTGGCTGAAAATTGCTCCCACCTGATCTAGAAGCGATATTTTGATGGTTCGATTGAATGGCCACTCCAAAGTCGGGTCGAATTCCCCCTTCAAAAGAAGGACATAGAGGGAAATCGACTTTCCGGCGCCTGAAAATTGCCAAAAATCTGTCTGTGTGTCTGTGTGTCCATACTTGTTCCATCTCCAAAAAGACATGCACACGCCATCATCTTATACCCAAATCTATGCGACATGAATGGATTCGAGAAGATTGTTGTGTCTGCTCCAGACTAAAATTTTTCAAAAATTATTTCGAATTCAAATAGAGCGTATTTACCTTCGCCTCGTTGGTCCGTTGCTGAAGCTTATCGATTTTCCAGATCAATTGAGGACCGAACATTTCAGTGCAAGTGTCTGCCTGGAATTTTTTTTGAATTCCCGCTAGAATATTATAGAATGATCTTACAGCCGATAGAATACGAGACTGGCGATCGTTGAAAGAGACCATGTCGCGTTCCATCAGTTCGTAGGTTCCCTAAAAACAACAAAAATAGAACATAATTTTTTTTGGGCAAATCGCGCTCCAGCGAACAATGCGTTTATCTCAAAAACCAGCAGCGCTATCAAAAAATTGTCAACTAACAAAATGTGCGAAATTTTCAAAGCTATGTTTTTGCAGTTAACACATTTTAAGTAGCTAATTTGGTTTTTTGAATAAACGCGCTCTAATGAACCGTCCCTTGGCTCGTTGAAGAGGTGCGGGCTGGGTGCGCTGTCTTTGAGCGCGTTTACCTCAAAAACCAGTAAAGCTATCAAAAAGTTTTTAACTAATAAAATGTTTGAAATTTGTAGAACTACATTTTTGTAGTTAACAAGTTTTCAATAGCTAGTTTAGTTTTTGAAATAAACGCGCTCTGATGCAAACCGTCCTCCTCCTCTTCAAAGGGATATGGTAAGTGGTGCGCTCCCTGACCGCCTTTTCTTTGAGCGCATGCATCTCAAAAACCAGCAACGCTATCAAAAAGATGTGAGTTGATAAAATGTGTCAAATTTCCAGAGCTACATTTTTGTTGTAAACACATTTTTGATAGCTAATTTAGTTTTTGAGATAAACACACTCTAATGCAACCCGTCCCCCTCCGCGCAAAAGGAGGTATACTACTCGGGTAAGAGGCACCCCCCCCCCTTTGAGCGCATGTATCTCAAAAACCAGTAACGCTATCAAAAAGATGAAAATTGATAAAATGTGTAAAATTTTATGAGCTACATTTTTGTAATTTCCAATTTACTACTAGCTAATGTAGTTTTCGAGATAAACGCGCTCTAAAGCGAACCGTCCCTCTCCTCTTCAGAAAGGTGTACGAGAACGCTATCTTTGAGCTCATATATCTCAACAACCAAAAAAGTTATGAAAATTGTGTCAACTATTGAAATATGTAAAATTTTATGTTCTACATTTTTGTAGTTAACACGCTTTTATTAGCTAATCTAGTTTTTGAGATAAACGCGCTCTAATGAACCGTCCCTTGGCTCATTGCGGAGGTGCGGGCTGAGCGCCCTTCTTTTGAGCGCATATATCTCCATAACTGCAAAGCTACAAAAGTTGTGCTAATTACTTAATTATGTGAGATTTTATGCTTTACAATTTCGTAGTTAACAACTTTTTACTAGCTAGTCTAGTTTCCGAGCTAACCTTCAAGTCAGTGATCTCATCACAAAGATACATAAGATGGCGGACTGGTTCGTCGCTGAGATGTTGTTGAATTGATTCTTTGCCACCTGAGAGAGATCCAGACATCCGGATAAATCTATAAACAGACAGATGCAAATTTTACCTGCAAATGTGCATCCATAGGGGACAAATGGGCAAACATTGTCGACATTGGGGCATTGGGGACGGTGAGCTTCGATCTGGAAAATCAGAAATTTAAAAAATCGGAGTAGCACAAGTACAGTACCTCATGTCTTGGCCTATCCGACAATCCACATTGAAACGGACAACTGATAATAACCTCTGGACATGTTTTCAAATGTCTCTCCAAGTCAGAATCCCTGATTGTCTTGTTACAGTAGGAACACATCGCTCGATTCAGTTCACATTTCTCGCGATGACGATCCAAATCCGCCTTGGCGAATTGTCTTCCACATTTCTCACATTTTAGTGAGGATTTGAATGTGCACTCTGTGAGATGATCATGAAGAGTGCCCAATTGTCCCGACCATTGACATCCGGATGATTCGAAAGTGCAAACCACTGGAAGGGAGAGGATCTGAAAGTTGGATTTGTTTAAATGCGTTTATCTAGATTGGCTACAATACATTTGTTAACTACAAAAATGTAGAACATAACATTTTACATATTTCGGTAGTTGACACAATTTTGCTCGCTTCAACAGTTTTCAAGATATATGCGCTCAAATAGAGCGGGCTTTACATTAGTGCGCGTTTATGTCGAAAACTAGAAACACTACTGTATTGTTATAAATTACAAAAATATAGCTTAAAAAATTTCGCATAATTTGTTAGTTATCAAAATATTGCTAGCTCTTATAGTTCTAGTGATATAAGGCAGAGAATGTAGACGCTATGTCCGCAAACACTGAACAACACGCGCATTGTTTGAGCGCATTTATCTCAAAACCCATAAAAGCTGCTGAAATTGTGTTCACAACTAAAATGTGTAAAATTTAATTGTCTACAGTTTTGTAGTTTACAAATTTTTATTAGGTTGTTCAATAAATAGTGGTCAGTTTGACTTCGCTTTACCGCTACTTTTTCGATTATCGATTTTTTTCATTTTTGTTTTAATATTTTCATGTGTCACATATTGCATGTTTATTACATCATTAAAACTTTCAGGTAATTGCTACAATGACCGAGAATTTACTCGATGATCATCATGCACTCAGAGGAGTGTTTTTGTTCATGTTTCTCCAGGGTCACTCGAGCAACGAAGCTCGGCGAACAATGTGTGAAGTGTTAGGCGCAGACACCGTCCCTCGAACCACGATTAAGTTTTGGTTCAAAAGATTCGAGGAAGGGAATTATAATCTGGAAAAAAACCGAGCCCCGGAAGGCCTCGTCTCAATATCGACGACGATATTTCAATGACACTGGAGGAAGAGCCCCGGGCTCCTTTACGGGAAGTATCTTTGACAGTCCACCATCCACATAGAACCGTTTCCAATGACCTTCATCGAATGGGGAGAGTTCCGAAATTCGGTCAAATTATCCCACACCTGTTGACCGATTTTCAGAAAAAACTTCGATGTGACCTGTCACTTTCACTACTCACCAGGGAGCCGACGACGGACTGTATTAAGTAGATAATTACTAGAGATGAGAAGTGGGTACTGTATGTCAACCATACCAGAAAGCGCCAGTGGGTCCCTGCAGGAGAAGCAGCAGAATCGGACCCAAAAGGAGAACTTCACGAAAAAAAAAAATGCTTTCGATTTGGTGGGAGTGATTTACCGCGAGCTCCTTCCGGACTCCACTACTATTAACTCTGATGTCTACTGTTCTCAAATGGATAATGTACTTCATGCTTACCGCTCTCACCGCCCGAGAAGCTCGAAGATTATACTTTTGCACGACAACGCCAAACCACACACATCTTTGAAGACCCGCAGTAAGCTCCAGTCCCTCGGAATCAAAGTTCTTCCTCATCCACCGTATTCTCCGGACCTGGCACCCACTGATTATCACCTTTTCCGTTCTCTCCAGAACCATCTTTCCGGTGAAAAATTCAATGATCGCAAGGATGTCGAGAAGTTTTTGGATCACTTTTTTGCCTCCAAGTCGCCAGAGTTCTAGTCGCAAATGGAATTGCTCAACTTCCAATGCGCTGGCAAGAAGTTATCAACTCCAATGGAGAATACATTTCTTATTAATTTTTGTTTTCCTTGAATAAAATGCGAATTGAAAAAAAGTGACCACTATTTATTGAACAACCTAATAGTAGCTTATCGGGTTCTTAAGATAAGCGCATTTAAACATAGCATAGGTAAGCGCGCGTTTTCCCGGAGATGTCGTAGGTACGCTCTCTTTGCGCGCGTATATCTCGAAAACCGTGAAAGCTACAAAAATTGTGTAAAATATTAAAACATCGAAATTATATGTTTTATATTTTTGTAGTTAACCCAATTTGAGTGGCTTTTTAGTTTTTGAGACAAGCGCGTTTAAACATAACCCGCTGAGAGGACTGAGCGCACGGCCTCCTCATAGGTCTGGTAGGTACGCTATGTTTGCGCGCATATATCTCAAGAACCAGTGACACTATAAAAATAGTGTTAACAACAAAAATGTGTAAAATTTAATTGTCTACAGTTTTGTAATTTACAAATTTTTAGTAGCTTGTCTGGTTCTTAAGATAAGCGCGTTTAAACATAGCGCGCTGAGCAGGCAGCGCGCGCGCGTCCTTCTCCTGGAGGTCTGGTTGGTACACTCTATTTGAGTGCATATATCTCAATAATCTTAGCAGTTACTAAAATTGTTTTAATTATTAAAATATGTAAAATTTTAAGCTCTACATTTTTACAGTTGACAAATTTTTGATAGCTTTCTTGGTTCTTGAGATAAACGCGCTCTAATGCAAACCACCCTGCTTCTTCTCTCCAAGCCACTAGCGCTTCAATTTCCCCCATTTTTTTGCATTTTTTCTAATAAAAAAAAGAGAAGAAAACATAGAATTCAAAAAACATGTAAATTCAATATCTTCTCACCTGCTTATGTTTGGCACGATCGTGTTTGCACAGCTCCGATTGGATGATGGTCTGACAGAGCGCGCATTCCGGTGCTCTGGAATATTTAATGAGAGGAAAAATGGGAGAATATAAAATGGGACTGAAGACGGAGAATAAAGGTTTTTCTCTTTTTTTACATTTATTATTTCCCGTATATGGCTGAATTTATCCTATAAAACTAGCTAGGCTGGTAGGAAAAGATACAGTCTACCGTATTTTTTAATTATCTCAATTCTCGTGAAAGTTATCAAAATTATGTAAAAAACAAAAATGTAGAGCATAAAATTTTACATATTTCAATAATTAACCAAATTTTTCTAGCTTTTGTAGCATTTGAGAGATACGCGCTCAAAGAAAGCGCATCCTTTGCGATGAACTGAGGGATGGTTGATTACAGCGCGTTTATCTCAAAAACTAAAAGAGCTAGATAAAAATCTTAAAGGACAAAAATATGGCTTAAAAAATTTTGCATATTTTAATAGATAACAAAATAAACCTAGCTTTAGTAGGTTTTGATATACACGCGCTCAAAGAAAATGCACCCTCCCCCCCCCCACATTACAGCAAGCCTAGGAGCTGTTTGCATTAGAGCGCGTTTATCTCAAAAACTAAAAAAGCTAGTTTAAAATTGTTAACTATTAAAATGTAGAGCTTAACATTTTTAACATTTTGTTAGTTAACAACTTTTTGATACCTATTTTAGGAACCGAGATAATTAGCGGCAAAGCACTACTATGGTTATTATCGAAATTCAGCCAAATTTTGAAGTATTTGCCTGATTTTTGGTCTATTTAAACTGATTTTTCAGCCTTTTAAGCTTTTTTAAACTTATTTTTGTCTAGAAAATCATATTTCCTCACCTATCCTCCTTCTCAAAGCACTGTTTGCAATAGTGATGCTCACAATTGAGCAGCATCGGCTCTCTCAACGCTTGCTCACAAATCGGACACGTGCAGTCCGCCGGTAGACCGCCTTTGAACATTATCGACTGATTTACAGCCATTTTCAACCCAAGCTACTGAAAAAAAATTTGCTCAGTTTTAATTTTAAAATGAGAAAAGAGGAAAAAAAGAAGGCTTGAATGAAAATGAAGGGACTCGGAGAGGACTCGGCGAGCCGGTTTCCAATGGTGGCACATAGCGACACTTAGATACGTATAGATACATCCACGTCAGGCTTATTTAGCTGAAGAATCTCGAAATTTCTATGGATATCCGAAAAAGAAGATTCTAGTGTGTATTTCTTTTTTTTCCCGAGAAGACTCCCCCAAGAGAGGAGAAGCGGGTCGGCGCCGCGCTCATATGTGTACGCCCTCCTCTCTTGTTCCAAAATGTGGCCGAATGGTCTAGTGGTATGATTCTCGCTTTGGGTGCGAGAGGTCCCGGGTTCAATCCCCGGTTCGGCCCATTCTTTTTTTCTTTTTTTTTAGGTTTTGAGGATTGCTTATGAATCGCGTCTGAATCATTTTTAGCTAATTTTTTTTGTTTTTATCGTTATTCTCATGTAATTTCCGTCATTTCGACACCCATATTGCCCTATATCCAAACTTTCAAGAATTCTGAATTCAGAAGACGTCAAATTTCAAATTTCTCGGGTTCGGTTGATCTTGGTATCAAAATAACAGAAAAAACACAGAAAAAAAAAACTTTTTACGAGGCGGATTTTGCTGAAAATGATTTTGAAGTTTGAAAACGACGTCTTCTAATTCCCATAATCTTAGATTAGGTTTCAAAACTTTGACGTCTTCTAAATCGCACCAGAAGCATTTTCTAGCATTATCACTGCGTTAAATGTGTTTGCCATGAAATTTCCGTCTTTTTGATATCCATATTGCCCTATTTTCAAATTTTCGTGGATTCTGAAATCAGAAGATGTCAAATTTCGAATCTCATCGAATATAGGCAATATGGGTATTGTTTGAAAGAAAATTTTATGGGAAATTCAAAAAACATAGTTTCAATATTTAAAATTGCGTTGAAGCCTTCAAAAAGGGCATTGAACTGTTTGAAATCTCCGATTTTTGGTTCCTATGCACCTGGAGCGTGTTAAACCATACAAACTGTGTGTACTTTTTTCTCTCCTTCTTTTTATCGCTTCTTTTTCTTCTTCTTATCTGCTTTTTCTTGTTAATCACTTCCTTATCCAGTTTGTTACACTTTTTCTTCTTTTTCTTCTTTTCCTTTTCCTTTTTTTTCTCACTTTCTAACAGTTATCGATCATTTGATATCTCTTTATCTTTTTTATTATTGCATTTTTCTCAAATTTTTGAATTTAGCGCTCAAAATTTGTTTTTTCAGATTCAAAAAATGTACCACCTATTCATTCTTCTTATGTTAACAACCAATATCGTTTTTTCGGAGGTAACTTTCTAAAGTTGAATTTCCATGAAAAATGATGACGTTAGAAGGATTTTTCATTAAATTTCGGTCATTTTGATACCCATATTGCCCTATATCCCAAAATTTAGGAATTCTGAATTTAGAAGACGTCAAATTTCAAATTTGCTCGAATCTTCTCGAAATTGATGTTAAAATGTTTCAAATATTGTGAAAAACAACTTTGACGACGACAAATTTTCTGGAAAAAATTTTGAAGAAATCCAGAAGTTTCTAAATCTGATTGCGAATTCTGGATTTTCGCAAAATTCCAACTTGAGAAAAAAAACCTTCAGAATAATTTTTATTTAAGTTTATGACGTTAGAAAGATTTCTCATGAAATTTCCGTCATTTTGATACCCATATTGCCATAGTTTCGAAATTTTGGTGAATTCTGAATTCAGAAGACGTCAAAAATTGAATGTTATCGAATCAGGTCGAATTTCGTATCAAAGTGACGGAAAAATTACAATAAACGCATCTAACGACGTGAATATTGCTAGAAACGGTTCTAAAGTTTGAAAACTGACGTTTTCTGAATTCAGAGTACCCCCGAAAATTTCAAAACCTAGGCAATACGGGTATCAAAATGACGGAAATTTCAAGACAAGCAGTTTAGACGTCACCAAATTTCATAAAAACGGAAAAAAGAAGTTTTAAAAAATTATCAATAGAGCGATATTTCACAGAAATGCGAATCAAATGAGGAATGTGATTCTAAATGGCCAGATGCGATTTGTGTACGTGGCAGATGTCGTTGTCCGGAGAATACGATTCGAAAAAAGAGTGCTTCTAGAGAATGGGTTTGTCTCGCGACCAATGATGCAAGTTAGTTTTTTTTCTTAAAATTTGATTGAGGAATTTCCAGAATCTCTTTTGAGCAAAATAACACAGTAAACCTTGTTCGCCGTAAAATTCCCGTCGTTTTGATACCCATATTGACCATATTTGAAAAGATTCGTGTTTTGACGTCTTTTGAATTCAGAATCCTCAAAATTTTGGATATAGGGCAATATGGGTATCAAAATGACGGAAATTTTATGAGAATTCTTTCTAACGTCACCATTTTCCATAAAAGTCGGAAATTCTGGTCCACCGTTGACGTGCCCCACTCCAGAAGGTGCCGGATATCAAGTGATGTATCGAAAAGATGGGGAACCTGTGAAGTGCTCCAGTAAAAAGAAGCCAGATTCCTGTCCAGAAGGATTCGAATGTATTCAAGGGCTTTCGATTTTAGGAGCGTTGGATGGAGTTTGTTGTCCGGATCGAGGTGAGAACGTCTCCTTACTTTCTTCCAAAAAATTTTCAAGAAATTTCATAACGTTAGAAACGTTTCTCGTGAAATTTCTGTAATTTTGATACCCACATTGCCATAGTTTTGAAGTTTAGGGGAATTCTGAATTCAGAAGACGTCAAATTTCAAACTTGCTCGAACAAAGTCGATATTACTATCAAAACATCAAAAATTTAATAACAAAAAAGACTAACGTCATGAAAACTTAATAAAAACAATTTTGAGGACATCCAGGTCTGAATTCTGGATTTTAGCAAAATTCAAATTTGAAAAACAACCTTCAAAATAATTTTCAAGAAATTTCATGACGTTAGAATTGTTTCACTAGAAATTTCCGTCTTTTTGATACCCATATTGCCCAAGTTTAAAAATACAGATTATTCTGAATTCAGAAGACGCCAAATTTCAAACTTGCTCGAATCAAGTCGAAATTAGTATCAAAATGTCAGAAATTTAATAACAAAAAAGACTAACGTCATGAAAAATCTGAAAAATCAAAACCATTTCTAATTTCCAGCAAAAACCTGTGATCATCCGATTTTCGACCATCCAGACGACGGATACCTATCCAGATGGGGATTCGACGGTGTCAGTTGCATTGAGTTCAAATGGAATCCCGAACGTCCGTCATCTGCGAACAATTTCAAAACTCGCGCTCATTGCGAGGATTACTGTATCGGTTCTTCGATAAACGGTCTATCTAATTATCAGCAGACGAATTTTCATTTGTAATTTTTTTATGGGTCGGCAGATTTATGCCAATATTCATTTAATCTCAAGTTGTGTGTGTTTTAAAAATCAGAATTTAGTACGTGTTAATAGGAGAAAGGGAATTTGTTTATCGCATCTGGAGATGCAATAAACAAACAACATTATCATATTAAATGATTGAATCCAATATAATGCAATAGAAATTGGATTGTTTTACAAATCTTAGTCTTGTCAGGCAAGCATACAAGCAACGACTCCATTCGGTCCATCATAAACACAAATTGACGCTTCGTGTCCATCTTTCCGTGTTACCTCGAAGCTTCCTTCCATTGCAATATAGTCACGGAAAATGAAAATTCATATTTTAATATTGAATGATATTTTCAAACTTACGGTTCATCTATTGGTGATCCTATTTCATATGGGATATCTTTCAGACCAACCGCAACAAAGTCTTCTGGATTCATTAGATTTATTTCGAAAAATTCCAAGTTTTGGTGAGATTTCATTTCTATCCAACTCTTATAAAATACATTTATGTCTTGATTTGTCAGATTTGTGCCATTAAACGCCAATCCGCTCATTTTTGAATGCATTACATAACCCAACGTAATCCATGATCTATTATGGATACGTAATCTTTCAATTGTTGTGGGAATTTCCAGTGGAAGGTCTTCAATTGTGTCGAGGTAGAAGTATGAACTGTTTGTGAACTTCAAAGTATCCAATACGTATTGCAATTCTTCTTGTCCTGGATTCTTTCCGTAAACAGCCAAATCTAAAACTTCCGGGCAACACGATTTTAACCAGGCCACAATTTCTCTGCATCGTCCTTTGAAATCGTCCATATCCAACGTTACATAATGAATTTCATCTCTCATCACACTTCTGGCATCTAAATAGAATTTCTTCAAAACATACAACCTGTATTCAAAGCCGCAATCGATACATCCCAGCGGCTCATCGCAGCAGTGACCGTTTCCAAATGTCATATAGGTGCAACCCTTGAAAACGACCCGAACTTCAGAATGTTTCTTGATGGTTGAGAGGCGTCTGCATGATTTTGAAACTTTCAAGAAGTTGATGCTAAAAAAGGGGATGACTGTTGAAAACCTGCACAGAAAAGAGCAGAGCATCTGTAGTAGGCGGGTTAGGAAGGTCACAGAGGTGTTGACATTGAAAAGGAAATTTTCTCGAATGACTTCATGAGGGTCCTTCAATCTCGAGGATATGGGAATACTCATGTTTGGCACGAGTTGATCCTATATGGATTTTCTCAGGATTTCATCGTTTTGAAATGAATAAAAAAGCATGGGATGCAGGACCGGCAATAACATAAACAAAAACCCCTTTTTCACTTGATTTTTGGCTATTTTCGGGAGACTAGAAACTATTTGTAAATATTTGAGTACATGATCGGAGTTAGATGCTTTGGCTTTGATGCAGGCTTTCAGACGATCCGCAGAAAAAAGTCGCCGTGCGTCGCAGGTAGTTGCCGTCTATTTCATCCTATAACGTTAGATCTTGCTCGAGAAAGTCGAACCATGGCTAAGAGCAAGTCATGATGTTGCTCTCTGATTTCGTGAATTTGGAGATCCGGGACGGTGCCAACCTCGTGAATGGTGGATGGTTGCTTCCCAAAGTGACTAGTATCCCAGAAAAGGGCAACACGATTCAAAACCATAATCATCCGAGTTAATCTCCACTTTTTTATAAATGGAAACCAGCGGAGCACAATTTTTGGCTAGATTAATGATAATTATAGTGAAAATTCGCTCTTAAAGGTGGGGAGACATGAAAAAAATAATTTTCTCGAAATTCCGTTCAAAGATGCCTCTCGAGGAGTTGAACTTGTGAAGGCGATGATTGAGGGTGCGGCGCCACTACCGACTGAGCCACGCGGGCAAAGAGAAAGCGCACGCCCGATTGCATTCATAAAGGCGAGGACGACAGCTGTACGCAGAGTGACATTAAGCGTTGTACACCGTCACGGTAGAATGCATACTCTAGCTACAAAAAAACTACGAAAAATCTCCTGACCAGCGGCGCCTAAAGCCACAACAACGATGTCTATAGTACCACCAGCGACGACTACGACGACTACAAGAAGCTCCACCACTGGACCAGCCGGGGAATCGAGGGAACCGAAAAAATGAGAATAAGAGTAAGTTTTCAACGCCAGTTTGTGCTTTCTTTTTCATTGTTTTCAGAAACGTTGGAGCTGGGAACCGAGCAATAGGAGGCAGAGGGATCAACCGACAAAGGATGAACTAACAAAAATAAGGTATACATTTGAAATTGAGCCACATATTTTTATACCAAAATGTACTGAAAAAATTAGAAAAAACAATAAAGAAGAAGACAATTATTCCTGGTGTGGACGGCGTTCGTTGTTAATGCGAGCCTGAAAAAAACTCAAATTATTCACCATTTTTAAGACGTTCTGTTTTTAAACGTTTTGGGCGAAGGTCTCGAGTTACTGTCATTCCAATGCTTTTGAAAAACTCTTCCAAAAACTTTTTTTTTCGGAGAGGTATCTTAAGGTGATACAAAGTAACAAAATTTGGTTTTTTACTTGATTAGCAGAGTAGCAAAAAAAAAAATGGTGTGAATTTTCCATGTTCTACTGCTTCTCTGTGAATCAAGCAAAAAACAATTTCTGAGCTACCTCTTAAGAGAGGTTTTGTATTAGAGGGGGCGTACTACTACAGGTGTCGTTACCTCGTCCATGGCCAAAAAACCGGCAATCACAGTGGCGAATGCTGAGGCAGTCGCGAAGCAGAGGGACAACGATTTCCCGGTCGGCAGCTCATGGAATTCGAAGCATGCAATGAGCATAGAGAAGAAGGCGGTGATCTGGCCGTCGATGGACAATTCGGCTGAACGGGGAGCCTGCAAAATGTTAATGAATTGTAGTACATAGGCGGAGCCAGATCTGATACTAATGCTCTCTCTCTCTCTCTCTCTCTCTCTCTCTCTCTCTCTCTCTCTCTCTTTTTTTTTTTTTTACTTTCTGATACTGTCTTTAATTGAGAAAAAACATGACAGAAAGATTGTGAAAAAATATGACAGAAATCCAACAAATTCAACGCAGACATCTGGACAAACAGACAGACCAACAGACAGAATTTAAAGACCGATTTTTTTTTCTTCGAAAACAATTTTTGAACCAAGACGGTCAGAATTTTGGACTTTTTCGAATTTTTGGAAAAATTTTTTTGCAATAATAATCTGAAAATAGATAAATTTTAACACATTTTAATGCAATAAAAATTTTTGGTCGGAGTCCTCCTTTAAGAAAAAGTCAGAATTTCAGGAATTCTAGAGATTTTTGTTGGAAATTCTGAATAAAAATTTAATAATTTTGTAAGTTTTCGGTTTTTTTGAGTACTATAAAATTGTGAACTTTTAAAATTTTAGAATTTTAGACATACGGATTTCAAAATATGTTTTCAAAAATTAGAGATTTCTGGTCCTTGGGCTCATTAACCATATAATTTTAAAAAAAAAAGAAATTTTTATATTTTTTCACTGTAGGATTTCAATTTTTTTTTGAATTTTCCGAAATTTTTCGGAATCTTTGTTTTTGGATTTCTGGAAAATTCAAACTTTTTCTAAATTTTTCGTTTTTCAGAAATAAAAAAAATAGTTTTTTTTGGATTTCCGAAAAGTCTGAACTTTTTCAAAGTTTGGATTTTAGGGTTTCTGGAAATTTTTGGAAACTTTCAGTTTTTGGAGTTTCAGAAGCGTCCTTCAATATCCTTTACATTTTTTCCGTTGATCTTTTTTTTCAAGTTCTGCAACCTGAATTTTTTTTTGTAAAAGACAATTTCCAATATAAAAATATTTTTAATTAGAGATTTCTGGTCCCTGTGCTCATTAACCACATAATTTCTCAAAAAGATGATGTACATAGTGTTATGTACAAATATTTGTGTGCATAGAACTGACACCAATGAGCAAATAGACCAGTGAACATGGCAAGATAAGATAAGAGGTCTCATGGGAAAAGACATTCTTCTTCTTTTTCTTACCACCACGCATTCTGTCCCCCTTAGAATTATGACGTCTTCTAGAAAAGTGCTCCATGCTCTTCTAATTCTCTCATTTTCCAATTTGGCGGCTTCCAAAACCAAGTGCCTTATGGCCACCGGAGTTTTAAAGTGTCCCACTGATCCACATGCTGTCAAAAAGGTCCATATTGATCTTTGGGATGAGGATTGTGAGTTTCTGAATTTTTTAAGTTCTCGAATTTTTGAGTTTTGAATTCTTGAATCTTTGAATTTTTGAATTTTTGAATTTTTGAATTTTTGAGTTTTCGAATTTTTGAATTTTCAAAATTTTAACCTCTAAATTTTTGCAAACTGCCTAGCTGCTTCCAGCCCTTCCCCTGGAATCCGATGACCTAATGGGTCGAACCTGGAGTGATATCCATGGGAATTTCCGAGTAACTGGATGTGCAAGTGATTTTGGTCCCATTAACACCCCCGACCCATATATTTATATCCAACACGATTGCCCACATCGAGACACAAATGCAACGGATCCGATTCAGGTGGGATTTTTAGGACCATGTATTTGAGCTCAATTATCTCGCTTCTTGTAAGAGATATCAGATTTTTGTCAACTGCTGAAATGTTTTTCTTTAAATTTTGCATATTTTATTAGTTGACAAAACTTTGATATCTTTTACAGAAAGCGAGATACGTGAGCTTAAAGTTTGCGTCATGCTTTTTGAGCGCGGCACCACAATCGTCAATTGTGCTCTAATTTATCTCACTTTCTGTAATCGATATCAAAAAGTGGTAAACTAGTTAGATATAAACTAACAAAATGTGTAGAATTTTATGAAGATCGTTTTGTCAGTTGAAAGATTTTTTTTTGCTTCAAAAGGACCGAAATAAATTACCTCAAAAGCAGTTAGCTTCTCTGCGCCTTCATCCCTGAGCGCAGGCTCCCCAACCATCAATTTTTCTTCAATTTATCTCGCTCTCTAAAGAAGCTATCAAAAATGTGCAAAATTTGGCTCTTTATGACAAGGGGGCCCATGGGAAAAGGGGGGGGGGGCCCACGGCAAAAAAGGGGGGGGGGCCAAGTGGAAAAATGTGGACTAAGTTAAAGGTGGGGGGACAGGAGATTTTTCGTAGTTTTTTTGTAGCTAGAGTATGCATTCTACCGTCACGGTGTACAACGATTAATGTCACTCTGCGTACAGCTGTCGTCCTCGCCTTTATGAATGCAATCGGGCGTGCGCTTTCTCTTTGCCCGCGTAGCTCAGTCGGTAGCGGCGCCGCACCCTCAATCATCGCCCTCACAAGTTCAACTCCTCGAGGGGCATCTTTGAACGGAATTTCGAGAACATTATTTTTTTTCATGTCCCTCCACCTTTAAGATTTACCAATTTTTTCAAGTTTTCCGGATGTTTCTTTGACAATTTCGTACTTTGCGCTTGTTTCCCCAAAAATGCGTCACTTTGAAAAATTTCAGTTTAGGCCGGTTTTTTGCATGAACAACACTATTTTGATAATTGAAACTGTGTAATTTGAAGTTATTCGGCTAGTTTTAGATTTTTTTTCAGGCTTAGTAACAAAAAAATAGACAAAAAATGTGAAAAAATGACATAAACTGAAATTTTCAAAAAATTATGAAAAATGTTCAATGTTCGAAATTGAAATAGGAACAGTCACAAAAATTGAAAAAATTGGTAAATTTCAACTCAGGCATAATTTTTCTACTTGGGCCCCCCACCCCTTTTCCCATGGGCCCCCTTGTCATAAAGAGCCCAAAATTTTAGGTTTCACAATTTAATAATTGACAAACTTTTAATATCTAATTAAGGGAAGTGATTTCAAAGTTGATTTCCAGGAGTAATTTCCTGGAAAAACGCTGTCCAAAGCTGTCATTGTTTTCCAGAGGCCTCCGCTTCGAGACCCGCCGTAAATCGACATGAATCAACAGGAAGAACACAGCCAAAACGAGTGATACAGTAGTTTACTGTTGCTGTAAATCTGGAAAACAATCGCAGCTTTGGAGAGCGTTTTTCCAGGAAATTACTCCTGGAAATCAAGCTTTTAACGCGGCATGAGATAAACTGAATTGAAGGATCTACCGGTTACATCTTCTACCGGTTACATCTTTCCTTGTCAAATATCTAAATTATCCCGTTTCCCCTTCCCTACTCAGATCGGCCTCGTGAGGGGCATTTTTTCTGAGTCTTTCATGTGCTGCCCTCTAATGTTTTATTACACCTGATCAATAAACAAATTAAATTAAAATAAAGGATCCGCAGGCAAGCAGCCGCTCGCTTCGTACAAAAGCGCGGGCTTCCTGGTCGTCAATTTTGCTTTCATTTACCTTGCTTCCTATAATAGATATCAAAAAGTTGTAAACTAATAAAATGTGTAAAATTTCAAGACAATTATCTTTTTATTAACAAAACATTGATCTTTCAAAGGAATTGAGATAAGTGAGTTCAAAGTAAGAGACTCTTCAGTCGCAAACTTGGCTGTATCATAAACGCTTCTACTTTGCCCCTGCTTTCTCCGTTCCTGTAATAGATATCAAAAAGTTGTAAACTAATAAAATGTGTGAAATTTTATGATAAACATTTTATCAGTTATCAAAATTGTGATATCTCTCATGAGAACCAAGGTAAATGGCTTCAAAACGCTAGGCCAGCCAACATCTTTTTTCCAGATCGACGTCATCCCACTGTTCCTTCCATCAATCGTCAATTTGGGTAATATCTATCTGGATCGATACATCGACGACTAATAATTGAACTCTTGAAACCAACTGCAAATACTACAAAAAATTGTTTCAATGTTTGCATAAAACTGTTCTTCATTTACTTTCCTCCTCCTTCTGTATATAATAAAAAGTCAAACATTTTCTTTGCTCCTGCACCACCAGTCGTTTTTTTGACAGGTAGTTAGAGTAAATGAGCACAACCTGGAGCACACACACACACACACACACGCGGACTGGTTCCTTCCGCGTTGCTCCTCCGCGCGTGAAATACTGGCTCCGGAGAGAGGAGGCGCGACCTTTGGCAATGGATGCCTCTACGAGTAGCTCCTCACAACCAGCAGTAGTTGGTTGGAGAACAGTTGGTTGGGAGCTGTCACAACTCATTTTTTGGTAAGTTTGCTTTGTTCCAGTTTTTTGAAACCTCAACTTTGACCTACATAGACTCTCTAGCTTGGAACGCGGGCTCCGTAGACTTCAATTTTGACCCACTTCGTCTCGATTCCTTCAATAGATATTGAAAAGTTGTCAACAAATCGAATCTTTTTATTTTTCAAGATAAAACGATCCTAACACCTTGAAACCTGCATTTAGAGGGTCTTCACACACTTTCAACTTTAACTTAACTCATCTCGGTTATTTAAGAAGATATAAGAAATTGGTAAAGTAACAAAATGTTTATCATAAAAGTTTGTACATTTTATCAGTAGACTACTTTTTGTTATCTTTCAAAGCAACTGAGATAATTGAAGCCAACGTTGACGACTGGGGTGCCCGCGCTCAAGGAGGAGTTCGCAGAAATGGTAGAGCGGCTGCTCGTCTGCGTCTTCTTCAAGGTAATTTATCTCAGTTACTGTAGAAGATATCAAAAAGTTGTCAACTAACAAAATTTTTATCATAATATCTCCATAATTTTATCAAAAGACTATTTTTTGATAACTCTCACAGGAACCGAGGAAAATAGGGTTTAAGTAGGCCCCTCTCTAAAGTGGCTCTTCTATTTTTTCACTTTTTCAAAAAAAACTGAACCAAATTTAATATTTTTGAATATAAATAATTATTACAAAAATGTTCATCAAACAATACATAAAAAGTAAGATCCTCAAATTTTCAGAACATCTTTAAAATGCTACCCTCCCTCGTGCTCTCCATCCTGCTCTCGGCTCCAATGGCACTGTGCCAAGCGCCCTTCTGGATGCCAAATATGCAACAATTCTCATTTTTGACCGAAACCGACTTTCGAAATGCTCTTCTCTTGCCAACTACAAATACACGACGAGTTAGAAGTCTATTCCATGATATGCGCATTCCTATGCAGGTTGGTTTTTGAAAATTTAAGCTTTGAGCCAGTTTATCTGGGTTACTGTAAGAGAAATCAAAAAATTGTCAACTGATGAAATGTGTAGAATTTCAAAATGAACGTTTTGTTAGTTAACTACTTTCTGATATCTTTTACATGGACCGTGATATATTGCATTGAAGGAGACGCAGGCGAGCAGCCGCTCCAGCTTCCCGCCGCCCTCCTTCTCAAGAACGAGAGCTTCTCTCGGTTACTGTAAAATATACAAAAAAGTAGTCAACTAACAAAAAACTACTGATAATATGATGAGCATTTTATCAGTTGAAACCGTTTTGATAGCTACTACAAGAGATATATAGGCTCAAAGTTGAGGTTCATCTGTGTGTCTGTCTATCCAAATGATTTCCAGAGATTCAAACGTGGCGGTGGAGTAGCTGTAGCAGCTGATAAGGACAAATGGCCGAATGGACGAGTCCCATACATCCTCTCCGCTGCCTACAGTAAGTCTCTGTGTGTCTGCCTGTCCAAATGTCCGCAATTTTTCAGCAAGTGCTCAAAGAGCAGTTCTGGCACGTGCATTCGATGCATATGCAAAGAGAACTTGCATTCGATTTGTACCAAAAGCGCCAACTGATAAGGATTATATTGTTATTCAGAAGCTGGATGGGTGAGTTTTCTTTGTTTCAAAATTTTTGAAAAAGGAGATAAACTGGGTTAGAGGAGCCGCAGAAGAGCAGCCATCTTCCCGGCGCCCTAATCGTCAGTTTCGCTTTAATTTTGCTCGGTTACTGTAGAAGATATAAAAAAGTAGTCAACTAACAATTTTTTTTGATATTATGATAAACATTTTATCAGTTGATCAATTCTTGATATCTCTTACAGTAACCGAGATGCATTAGCTCAACGTTGACGGTATGGGTTTATTTTCTGAAAATTTTGAAATTTAGGGTTTTCGAGAAAATGGGGTCGTGGTCGAGGAAAAAGGAAAAAAGTTAGACCATGAAAATCATTTTTATACCAAAAAATGCAGAATTTTCAAACAATGATTTTGGTATTAAAATCATAAAAATCGGTTTATTGGTTTTTGAGAAAATGTTAAAATATAAAATTTGATTTTTTTTCAAAGTTTTCATAAAAATTTGATTTTCGAATTTTTTTATTTTTTCTCAAAAACCACACAATTTTTTTTAAATCAAAATGAACCTGTAAAACTTTTGATTTTTTCTGTCTTATTCATAAATTTCAGATCTAGATTTATCAAGTTTGATGGTATCAAAAACTTAATAAACCAAAAAATAGTGATTTCAAAGTTTTAGGTTCCATAAAATTTGTTAAAATTCAGGACGAAATTTGAGTGTTATACCAAAACATGTGAAATTTTATGAGAATAATTTTAATATAAAAATCACAAAATCGGCTTATTGGTTTTTGAGAAAATGTTAAAATACAGTCTGATTTATAAATTTTTCGAAAAAAATTGTATTTTCAATTTTCTCCAAAACTATAGAACCGATTTTCCTGACTTTTATATCAAAATGTTTAGAATTTTCTAGAAAATCTAAAATTTTTAATTTCCAGATGCTACGCAGATTTCTCTCGAGTCGGTGGCCGTCAACAGGTCTCCCTAGCCGATGAGTGTATCGATTACGCGACGATCATTCATGAATTGATGCATGTCATAGGTAAGAGAATGCGATCTAATGAAAAAAATATGAAATTTTTCAAGGATCATTTTTGTATAAAAATCACGAAAATCGGTTCCCTAATTTTCAAGAAAATCGAAAATCAAAAAAAAAATCGAAAAAAAATAAAAACTTTTGTATTTTCTCAATTTTCTCAAAAACTACTCAACCAAATTTTATGATTTTTATACCAAAACAATTCCTAAACAATTTCCAATATTTTGGTATAAAATTCAAATTCCATGCTAAAACTTGACGAATTCTATGGAACCAAAAAACTGGATCCCTCGTTATTTTGGCTTCTCAAGTTTTCGATTCCATAAAACTTGTTAAATCTTGAATTAAAAATTAAAACTTTAAATTTGAAAATTTAGAATAATCCAAGAATCATTGTAATATAAAAATCACAAAATTCGGTTTCTTAGTATGTGAGAAACTCAAAAAAATAAAAAAATTTTTTTGGAAAAATTTCAAAAAATCAAATTTTGTATTTTTCAATTTTCTCAAAAACTACCGAACCGGATTTTCTGGTTTTCATATCAAAATGATCCTCAGAAATTGAAATATATAAAGTGCGCTCCATTGACAAGTTTTTTATTTTTAGGATTCATTCACGAGCACCAACGTGAGGATCGTGATCAATACGTCTCAATTTTATACCAAAATGTGATTCAAGGTAAGAAAGACATCCGAAAAAACAGACAGACAGACAGAAAATGCTTTTTTCAGGTGCCAACACAGATTTTGATAAGCTGAGCAATTTGGGATTATCGTATTACGGAGAACACTATGATTATACATCTATTATGCATTATGAAGCAAATGAGGGGTCGAGAAATGGGAAAAATACCATTGAGGCGAAGGTAAGGGGGCGTGGCCGAGGAAAAAATTAGGTCATGGGATACTGAAAATGCAGAATTTTCTGAGGATTATTTTGGTATAAAAATTACTAAAATCGGTTCGGTGGTTCTTGAGAACATTGGAAAGTACAAGTTTTGATTTTTTGAAAATTTTCCAGTAATTTTTTTTTGAATTTTCTCAAAAACCTGTCAACCGATTTTTATGGTTTTTATACCAAAATGATCCTTGAAAAATGCTGCAGTTTTTAATTTTTAACCAATTTTTCCAGAATAATCATTTCACTTCAATTATGGGAAAAGCCAACGACTTCTCCACATCCGACCTTCGTCGAGTGAATCGAGCCTATAAATGCTCCATTTTCTAAATTAGTTTTTTTTGGTTAATTGCTAATTATGATACGTGTAATTTATGAGTCATTAATTACCCTGAAGTTTCCCCCGGTGCTTTTTGTTTGTCTGTACATATTGAAACAATGAATTTTTCCCTACTTTTTTGGACATGCATTTTTAAAAGCTAGTTTTCTCAGAGATGACTTGTTTAATCGCAATGATTAATATACCAAAATAATTGTCTTGAAATTCCAGACATTTTAATTCAAAATTCGACTATTTTACCTTAAAATTGAAAACTGAAAATTTGCTCTAAACTTTTAACTCTTTCTTCTGCTGTTCTTTCAATTTTTCTCTAGAACCAGTTGCTCAATTTTTTTGGTTTTTACACTAAAACAAAGGAAATTTGAAGACAAATATTTTGAATATAAATTTAATGTTATTAGTCGAACACAACTTTTAGAAATCGCTATTCTTTCAAGCTGTATGAAAAAAATGTTGTATGGAGCGCAAACAAAAACACAGTCGCTTCCTCTTTCTCTGCGTCTCTCCCTCCCTTTCTTGTACACACTCTCTCTCCTTAAGACGGTGTGCCCTTATAGCTCAGTGGTAGAGCGTTGGTCTTGTAAACCAAAGGTCCGTAGTTCAATCCTGCGTGGGGGCAATTGTCTTTTTGCTTTTTCGAGGGACATTGTTAAGGTGTTAGGATGGTCCAGGTGTGAATTAGAGCGAATTTACAGTGTACTCGATTCTTCCTTATATATAAAACGCTAGAGGCGTCTGTCCGTCCTCGTGTCAGTCTGTCAACTTTTAAAAAGCTTGAAAATTAAATATAAATTTACGTTATCCTTTAAAAATAATTGAGTAGCGGAGCCACGAACCAGTAAATAACTAAATGGAATCGCGCCGAAGGCGCACCAGCTTGCTGGTATTGGAATAATTTATATAACTTTGTTTTTGTTATGTGTATTATTGTCGGAATTATAAAACTGCGACCTGCGGTGTATGCAGACTCGGTGCAAAACACTAATTTTTTGTACTGACAATACCTTGTTAATTCAAAAGTTTTAAATGTTTATGAATTTCCAAAAAAGTGTTGTTTAAAATAGTTGTTGAATTCCCAAATTCCTTCCTTTCCTCCACAAACGTTGCCATCCATCTCCGATCAGCTCCCCCGAAAATCCCTCTCAAGTACTCCGCCCCGTAAATACAATATGTTTCTAAGCTACTCCCGACATTGTGTATCCACGATCCTCAAGAAAAGAGAATCTCTGTGTCTCTCACTCTCTCACATATCTCCAACCTGAAGCTCTCTCTGTGAGCCCCCGTTTTGCCGCCGACGACCCACCAACGGCCACCCATTGATAAAACTTTTTTTGCTTCTTCTACGCAGATTTGTGTGTGTTTTATCAAAGAAAAAATTTGATCTACTTGTTTTTTTTTGTTTTGATCTACCAACTCGTTCGCCATGGCGAATATCGACTATATGATGGATCCGGGATGGAAGTACCTGCGGCAGGCTCAGGATGAGGCTTTGAAGGTTCGTAAAATTCTATGATCATTCGAATGGTACCAAAATGATTAGAGTATTACTCTCGTCCGAAATCAATGCACGTTGCGGCCGAAAATTTACTCAAAATCGCATCGTCGGTCGCACAGCGAAAAAACAAATTGATGCATGCGCCTTTAAATACCGTACGTCGGACGTTTTTTATTTTGGGCCCTATTTGATGTTTTTTCTATTTTACTGTCTGTACAAAAAAACCTCGGCAAGGGGCGGGGCTTACGCGACACGCCCCTTTATGCAACGCGCGCGCACACTTTTTCGGGGATATTTTTCTCGGAATTTTCAGATGTATTTTTTCGCACTTTTTCTCATTGAAATTGAATAAAATTGAGATTTTAATGTAAAATCATTCAGAAAATATCAATATTATCCAGAATTGCTTCAGTGCCTTCATACCTCGACGGCGATGGCTTCCTGGGGTTGTCGGTTGAGGGGGAAAGTTCGTTGTGGTGTGCTACTCATGTTTTCTGACTTTACATTAAAAACTCAATTTTATTCAATTTCAATGAGAAAAAGTGTGAAAAATGACATCTAAAATTCCGGAAAAAATATCCCCGAAAAGGGTGAGCCACTGTTGCAAAAAGGGGCGTATCAGGAACGCCCCATTTTCCGGCTGCGGCGCGCCCACGTTTTATTGAACAGACAGTATAAGAAAAATAAATTAAAGATTTATAAGAATTACACAAAATTAGACAGAAAAAAACGAAAAAATGAGAGAAAAAGACAAAAATTCAATAAATGTTGAGGTACTGTATTAAAAGCGCATGCAATAATTTGAAAAATACAGTAAAGTTCTCTCTGTGGGAGCTAAGCTCCGCCCACTGTTGTTTTCTCGGCCGCAACGTGCATTGATTTCGGACAAGAGTAATAGCTCCAAAATTAAGCGGATTACGGTCAACTGACTGTGTAGCTGCTTTAAATGCGCTCCACTGGACTTATTTTCAGATTCATCAATTTGAAAATCCACAACCTAGTGTAACTTTTTATGCTGCATCGATTGGCATTATAGTTCAATAATTAAAGGAGTTGTGGGCACTTTCCTTGATATACCGTATAGATGCTTTAAATGCGCTTTAAAACTGTTCCAATCTTCTTGCTATTTAGCTAGTTTTATGAGATTTAAACAAGCAAAAAATCAGCTTTCAAATGGTATAAAAATCATAAATGTATGACGAAAATGAAAAAAGTTAGGTGTCAACTTCCTTCGCGTTACACCTAGGCAGAATGTGCCGCATATAGAAGTCGCGCTCCACTCGAATTATTTTTGAGCCCATCAAATTGAAACTTGACATGCTTATGTAAAATTTGGTTCAAAGTCGATTGGTATAAAAATCACAGCTCTAGCTCAAAAACTAATCAAGTTATAATCACTTTTCCTGCATCAGTTAGACTATGATGTTCGAAGCTTTGGTTCTTGAGACCCAAAAAACTGTTTTGCTATGATTTTTATATCAAAATGTTCTTTTTACCATGCCCTATCATAATGTATAACTTTCTCAACTTGATTCCATTTTAGAAGACATTTATGAAGCTTTGAAAGTAGGTCAATTAAAGCTCAGCTGCCGTCCGCCTGCCATTGAGCCGTCGCGCTTCAAATAGGGTTTAAAATGTCCGAATTGTATTCCTCGGACTAGTTTAAGGTTTGTAGGCCATTTTCAAATCACAAGACTTGGCACTGTGCCAAGATTTCGTTTTGGGTGAGCTAAAAGTAAATATTTGAAAATCCCGTGCGGGATTTGTTGAGAGAAAGAGGCAAAAAAGCTCCTAACATCTTTTATCAAAGACAACAGTAGTTATCTTCTTTTTTACCTAGGTACAAAAAAGTTTGTTTGGGGGATGAGCAGAAAAATATTGAGGGATTAGAAACAAGAATAAGGGGAGGTGAAAAAATTCAGTTTTCTCAAACACCACTGGTTCAAAATTCATGGTTTTTATATCATAATTGACCTTGGAAAATTCTATACATCTTGATATTAAATTTGACTATTAAACCTTAAAATTGAAAACTGAAAATTAGCTTTAAACTTTTAAGACTTTCTTTTTAAATTTTCTCCAGAACCAGTTGCTCAATTTTCCTGCTTTTTACACCAAAAAATAGAAAATTTCCCGAAAATTTTTTAAAATGTGAATTTGATGTGATTGGTCAAACCAAAGTTTTAGAAACCTCTGCTTTTTTAAAGATGTATAAAATCACTGTAGTATGAAGCGCAAACAAAAACACCGCCCTCCCTCCTTTTCTTTCTCTGCGTCTCTCCCTACCTTTCTTGTACGCACTCTCTCCCCTCTCCACGCTGTGCCCTTATAGCTCAGTGGTAGAGCGTTGGTCTTGTAAACCAAAGGTCCGTAGTTCAATCCTGCGTGGGGGCAGCTCTTTTTTTTGTTTTTTCGAGGGGCATTGAGAAGGTGTTAGGAGGGTCCAGGTGTAAATTAGAGCGTATTTACAGAGTACTAGATGCAGAAACATGCTTATTTGTTTCTTTTAAATCTACAGTAACCCTTTCTCAGGAGCAAGCTGCTCGTCGCTTTGACAACAAGACTCATGCCTGGGTCCCGGATGCTGCCGAAGGATTCGTTGCTGCTGCAATTGCAGTCCAAGAGGGCGACAATTTGACGCTGACGATGCCATCTGATGGATCGCAGAAAAGATTGACAAGATCCGAAGTTCAGGAAATCAATCCGGCCAAGTTTGAGAAGACGGAGGATATGAGCAATTTGACTTTCTTGAATGAGGCGTCCGTGTTGCATAACCTTCGACAGAGATACTATTCAATGATGATTTATGTGAGTTTTTCCCTTTTAAACTGATTACAGTACTTCAAAAAACTCAAATCAATATGTATACCGTAAACCCTCTAATAGAACCCGAGCTGTAACCCTTAAACTCATATATCTTCATATTCTTTATCAGCTTGTTATTAGCTTTCAAATGAGTATACTCATGACCTACTTTTCTCCATTTGCATTTTTATGTACCCTATGCGCCTTTAAGCTCGCTACAGTACCCCAAAAGCTAAATTTGAGAAAACTAGGGCATGATTATACTCATTTGAAAGCTCTCAACGGGCTGAACAATAATTTTGACAGAACAATGCTGAACTTACCGAAAAGTGATAAACTTGAAAACTCAACTGTGAAAAAATCGAAAATTAATAATTTTGATTTAAAATCTAGAATTCGTTAAATATCCTGTGCATATACATACTCAGCTTGTTATCACCTTTCGAATAAGTATAACCATGACCAACTCACCTCGATTTTTGGATTACTTATTTTCCTTTAAAGCTAACTACAGTACTCCAAAACTCAATGTCAAAGAAAATAGGTCATGATAGCGAAGCTTAAATCTATTTTGTTTATGCTTCTTCGATATCAACTATTTGAGTTACGGTCCCATGTGGTTTTAACGGAGCTACAGTACCCCAAAAGACAGAGTGATGCAAAATAGGTCATGAGTATACTCATTTTGAAGCTCTCAACAAGCTAAATTCAAATTTATTATTTTCAGACGTATTCCGGTCTATTCTGCGTCTTCATCAACCCATACAAAATGCTTCCAATATACACTGACTCTGTCGCCTCAATGTATGTGAACAAGAGACGTGCCGAGATGCCACCTCATCTGTTTGCTGTGTCTGATGAGGCATTTAGGAATATGATGTCGGGTAGGAGCTTAGAATTGTTGCATTTTCAGATTTTTCTGAAATTTTCAGACAAGGAAAATCAATCAATGTTGATCACCGGAGAATCGGGAGCTGGAAAAACTGAAAACACCAAAAAAGTTATCGCCTACTTTGCCATGATTGGTTCTGGAAACAAGGATCAGAAATCGGTGAGAAATTGAATTAAAAAAAATTTCTTGCAAATTTGCAAATGTTTTCAAAATTCCAGGAATCCTCTCTGGAAAACCAAGTTGTGCAAGCCAACCCGGCTATCGAGGCGTTTGGAAATGGAGCCACGACAAGGTTCGTTTAGAGCGCATATGCATTTTTCAATTCTCAACTTTTTTTTAGAAACTACAACTCGTCGCGTTATGGAAAATTCATTCGAATCCATTTTGATAGAAAGGGACGTCTGGTGGGAGGAGATATTGAGCATTGTGAGTTGGGATATGAAAATTATTGCTCAGCTCGTTGAGAGCTTCAAAATGAGTATAATCATGACGGGGGTAGCTTCAGTAGCTAGAAAGCCGCATAGAGTCGTAATTCTGTTAGTTTCTGGCGGAGATGCTTGAAAATTATATGATTGAGTTTGGCTAATTGTAAGCTTTCGTTTAACTATAATCATGACCTAGTTTCCTTAATTTTAGTTTTTGGGATACTGTAGTTAGCTTAAAGGCGCATAGGGAACATAGAAATGCAAGTAGAGGGAAGTAGGTCATGAGTATATTCATTCGAAAGGCGGTGACAAGCTGAGAAAGAATATTAACAGATTTTTCAAGGAAATACAAAATTTAGTCTGAAATTTTGATTTTCAATTTTTCCAGAAAATTGTCGTTTCGAATTTATCGTTTCTGAGAAAGTTTTTTTTAGCATTTTTATTTAAAAATTGTTGTTTTGCAAATTCCAAGCTTTGCAGTGAATATAATAATGCCCTATTTTCCCCGAATTCAGTTTTTGGGGGTACTGTAGCAAGCTTAAAGGCGCATAGAATACATAGAAAGGGAAGTACAAGGAAGTCGGTCATGATTATACTCATTCGAAAGCTAGGAACAAACTGATGACGAAAACGTTAAAGGTGGGGGGACATGAAAAAAAATAATGTTCTCGAAATTCCGTTCAAAGATGCCCCTCGAGGATTTGAACTTGTGAAGGCGATGATTGAGGGTGCGGCGCCGCTACCGACTGAGCCACGCGGGCAAAGAGAAAGCGCACGCCCGATTGCATACATAAAGGCGAGGACGACAGCTGTACGCAGAGTGACATTAAGCGTTGCACACCGTCACGGTAGAATGCATACTCTAGCTACAAAAAACTACGAAAAATCTCCTGTCCCCCCACCTTTAATAAGATTCAGGCTAAATCAAAATTCAATTCGAAAAATCCCCTTTATTCGATTTGCAGACCTTCTCGAAAAGTCTCGTGTCATCAAGCAAGCGCCCGGCGAGCGCTCCTATCACATCTTCTATCAAATCATGACTCAAAAAGCGTTGAGAGGTAAGTGTCTAACAAATGATGACAATTTTTGGCTTTTTCTCAATGGAACGCATTTTCCAAAATTTTGGAAAACTGGTTAAAACTAGGCTCATTTTTAAGAGCTAAAAAATTTGAGAATGAGGGTTAAAAATCCTAAATCTAGTACTAAGACTAACCAAGTTATGATGATTTTTCGGTTTTTTCTCCATGGAGCACATTTTCCACAATTTTCGAAACTCACATGAGCATGGGCTTGTTTATACTTATTTTGGAACTTAAATTGGGGCGAACTCAAAAATCTGGTTAGCTTTAGGTTTGGACAAAAATGTAAGCATGTATGACTTTTTTTTTTTTGATTTTTCCATTTTTCGGTTTTTCTGAAAAGAGCCCATTTTACAATATTATGGAAAACTAGTTGAAAATAAGCTCATTTTGAAGAATTTAAAAAATTAAAACTATGGGTTTTAAAATCATCGAGCTAGCATGAAAACTAACAAAGTTATGACATTCTTTCCATTTTTCTCAATAGAGCGCATTTTCCGAAAATTTCCTAAGTTAGTTGAAATTTTTTAAAACTCATTTTGAAGAGCTTAAAATGTTGTCAATATGGGTTTTAAAATTATCGAGTCTCATTTTGAAGCTCTCAATGAGACAAATTCGAATATATAGTTTTCATGTGTCTCCTCCGAAAACTGTCTGAGTTACGATCTCATTTTTCAGAGCGCTACGGTTTAAGTGACAACATTCGCGACTACAAATTCGTGTCGCAAGCTGAGATTACGGTACCCGGAATGAATGATACAGAGGAGTGGGGGATTACCGATGTGAGTAGATGGCCTAGCTTTTTCTAGGCCATTCCAAGTTTTTTCAGACTGCATTCAACGTGATGGGCTTCTCGGAACGCGAGAAGGACGATCTGTACAAACTGTGTTCGGCCATCATGCACATTGGAAATTCGACTTTTAAACAGAAGCCAAGAGATGAGCAAGCCGAGGTGGATGATATGAAAAGTACAGTAATCCTTGGAACATTTTGAAAAATCGATATTTTTAGGCCCCACTGCTGCTTGTAAGTTGTTTGGAATTGATACAGATCAATTTTTGAATGCTTTGACTCGCCCCAGAATCAAGGTTGGAATGGAATGGGTCAACAAGGGCCAGAATGTTCAACAGGTACGGTAGTTTGGTTTCTTGCCGTTTTCCAATATTTTATCAATATTCTCCTTTCAAATGTGTCTTCAGATTAATTGCCTTATTTTGAATACGGATTACTGTAATTTCAGGTCGACTGGGCGGTTGGCGCGTTGTCCAAAGCGATCTACGCGAGAATGTTCCATTGGTTGATTAAGCGAGTCAATAAGACACTTCAAGCCAACTCCGATGATATGGTTTACTATATTGGAGTTTTGGATATCGCTGGATTTGAGATTTTTGATGTGAGTTTTTGTTTTTTCCCCAAGTTGTCAAAAAGTTATTATTATATTTGTAATCCGCTTGTTAAGAGCTTCAAAATGAGTATACGCATGACCTACTTTCCTCATTTTCCGTTTTCGGGGTACTGTAGCTAGCTTCAAAGGCACAAGGGACCGTAACTCAGACACTTTTCGGTAGAAATACATAAAAACTATATATTCAAACTTAACTAGTCAAGAGCTTTCAAATGAACCTGTCGAGACGCTCCGCCCCTTTTTGAGGCGCGGTTTTGTGGGCGTGCAAAGGCGCCGCACAGTTTTTTCATGGATTTTTTATTCAAGCCATTTTTGGTAATTTTTCACCAAATTTCGTTGGAATTTGAAGACAATTTGGCTATTTTGTGAAGGAAATATATACTG